GAGATCGTCGCGACCGAGAACAGCGGACGGCCACCGCGGCCCTGATGCGGCCCCGTCCGCGCCTCGCTCGGGGCCTCTGTCGGTCGCGCGTCCATCGCCAGTTACGAACGTCGCCGCGGGTTGCTGGGCAGATGCAGAGAGAGCCTTTTGGCACGCCCAGGGTCCCAAAACGGCTGTATTTTCACCTAAATTCATGCCAATATGGCTCGTTTGAGCGGCAGCTTGGCCCAGCTGGCTTTCTGCCAGCCCCGTTGTGTTTCTCCTACCTACGCCCCTGGAGCCTCGCGGCTCCTCCTGGGCTTGCTGGTCGCAGGCCAGCTACTTTTTTTGGCCAAACAGGCCAATTTTGGGCATCTTCTCAGCACAGGACCACTCATGATGATGGTGCTTCGGTACTACTCTCACGGAGTTCGAGGGACGCAGCAAGGTCCCCACCTTCTTTCTTTTACGCCTCCGGCGCCTTCGGCGCCTCTTCGGCGCCTCCGGCGCCGTTCCGGCGCCTTCGGCGCCGGTTTTTTTCTTTTTTTTTCCTCTTTTTTTCTCTTTTTTTGGTCTCTGCCAGCATGAAAAAAGTGCCCAATTTTTTGGGGGGAGGTGAGCGATGGAGTGGCAGATCAAGCAGCGCGAATACGAAGCGAAAAAGGTGGGGCCGCCGTCGTTGTGACCCCTGAAACCTTCCCCTTCATCCATAGGCTAGCGCGAAGGCGTTTAAACTGCGGCTGACCTGTACAATTTGCGGCGAGAAGGCCAAGCTCCCATGTCCCTGCGGCACAACACAGTATTGTTCGACGGACTGTCAGCGCATCGACTGGCGCGACCGCGGCCACCGGAAGGCGTGTAAGAAGATCCGGGCCGAGCGGGCGGCGGAGGCGGCGCGGGCCGAAGCGCCGACGCCCCCGCCGGAGGTCGTCTACGGTCCCGCGCCGCGGTCGCACGCCGACGAGGTGCGTGCGCGCATCGCGGCGGAACACGAAGCCGCTCGCAAGCGCCGCGAGGCGAACCCGGAGCCGGAGTCGGTGGATGCGCGTGAGGAGTCGCGGTGCCCGATCTGCTTGGAGGACTGGGACGTAAACCTGTCGCCTTGTTTCCGGACCTGTTGCTGCCGGATTGTCTGCAGGGCGTGCATGAATAAGACGAAAGGTGTGCCGTGTCCTCTCTGTCGAGCGCCGTACCCGACCCCGGCAGAGAGCCTTGCGCGGATTCGTCGCCACGCGGAGAACGACGTGCCGGAAGCGATCCGGGCACTAGGAGATGCCTACTTCACGCCTTCAGAGGCTGGGTTTCGAGGGGTCGTCGTGAAATCAACAAAAAAAGCGGCGAAGATCTACAAGCGGGCAGTGGAGCTAGGAGAAGTGAACGCCATGTCGGCACTTGCGTGGTTGTACGAAACTGGAGATGGCGTCAAGCTGAACCGGAATAAGGCGATTCAGCTCTATCGGATGGCCGCGGACCGCGGAAACGCGACGGCGTGCCTAAGTCTCGGGAACCTGCTCCGCATGGATGAAAAACTCGTGGAGGCCTTCCAATATGCTATGCGCGCCGCCGCACAAGGCCAAACGGATGCGGAGACAACGGTGGGCATGGCTTACGGTGCTGGTGAAGGTGTTGAGGAGAACCTCACGGAAGCAGACCGCTGGCTCAGTCGCGCGGCCGCCAAGGGCCACGCGCGCGCCGCCGAGGCGCTCGATTTTTTGCGTCGGGGAGCTGTATATGAGCGGCCTTGACCGAGACCTGGACCAGCGCGCGATCGACGAGCTCGAAAAGATAGCCCGCGCGTAAAAAATGACTATAACGACAAGTAAGATCATCCTAGACGCCCGCCGCCCGCGGCTTCTCCGCGAGGCGCGCGAGCACGTGGGAGGGCAGCGGCGACGTGGGCTCGTCGAGGTGGATGTGCGCCTCGTGGTCGTCCTCGTCGTCCGTGAACGGGTCCTCGACGACCACGTTCATGGGCGACAGGTCCGCCGGCGGCGCCGGCGGGTCGGCGGCCATCTCGACCTGGACGGAGACGCCGTCGGGCGCGGACCACGAGCTGTCGCGCGGCGGGTCGGCCGCGTCGCGCGCGAGCGCCGTCGTGTGGTCGAGGTGGTCGATGAGCTCGACGAGGTGGTCGTCGAGGGCCTGCCTGGACACGGTGCCCTCCAGCGAGTCCTGGCGGAGGCGCCGGAGGCGGTCCGCGGGCGACCCGGCGGCGGACGCGGCGAACCTGGACGTCTTCGTCGGCGAGAACGGCGCGTCGTCGGACTCGACGGGGATGGCGACGTCCGCCGCGTCGGCGTCCGCGGTCGTCGGCGCGAAGGCCGGCTTGGGCCGGAGCTTGTAGTACGTCGCGCCGACCGCGGCGGCGGCGAGGACGAGGAGCGCCGCGAGGATGCCGAGGACCGCGGGCAGCGACAGCGACGCGCTCTCGATGTCGTCGTCGTCCTCGTCGTCCGAGCTTCCCGCCGCGGCGTCGGTGGCCGTCGCCGCGGCGGCCGCGGAGACGACGGGCGACGGCGTCGGAGCGACGGGCGCGGGGCTCGGCGCGACGGGCGCGGTGCTCGGCGCGACGGGCGCGGGCGTCGCGGGCGCGACGGGGGCCCGCGTCGGACTGCCGGGCAGCGGCGTCGGCGCGGGCGCCGGCGCGGCCGTCGGCCTCGGCGACGTCGCCACGGGCGCCGCCGTCGGCGACAGGACGGGCGCGGGCGTCGGCGCGAAGACGGGAGCTTTGGTCGGCGACCCGGGCGCGACCGTCGGCGCCGGCGTCGGCTCGGGCGTCGGCTCGGGCGTCGGGTCGGGCGTCGGGTTGGGCGTCGGGTTGGGCGTGGGCCGCGGCGACGGCGCGAGCGACGGCTTGGGCGACGGCGCGGGCGTCGGGTCCGGCGGCGCGGCAACAGGCGCCGCGGTCGGCGGCGGCGTCGGCGAGGCCGCGGGCGCCGCGGTCGGCGGCGGCGTCGGCGCGGGCGCGGGCGCGACGGACGGCGGCGCCGGCGAGGGCCGCGGCGTCGGCGGCGCGGAGCAGCCGCAGGCTCGATCGCAGCTCTCGTGGGCGACGCTGTCGTCCGCGCCAACGACGAGGCACCGGCCGCCGGGATAGTCCGAGACCCACGCGCAGTCCTTGCTCGGCGCGTTCTTCTTGTGCCAATTTTCGTCGTCGACGCAGCCCGCGGGCCAGCCCGGGGACGGCGCCGCCGAGGGCCGCGGCGTCGGCGCGGGCGACGGCCCGGGCGTGGGCTCGCGCGCCGTCGGCGCCGCGGTCGGCGCGTACGACGGCGCCGTGGGCGCGTAGGACGGCGCGTAGGTCGGCTCGCGGGACGGCCGCGGCGTCGGCGCCGGGGGGAAGCAGGCCGTGCCCGCGGCGTCGTCGACGGCGCGCAGGATGAGCTCGTTCCACTCGTGGCAGCTCGCGACGTTCGCGTGTTTCATGTCGAACGTCGCACTCGGCAGGTCGCTCAGGCCGTAGAGCGGGAAGATGTCCACCACCGACGCGCCCGCGGCCGACGCGACGCGACTGCCGACGTCGTTCATGGCCTCGATGGAGTCGATCCACAGGTCGTACTCGTCGTCGGGCTTCTCGCCTGTGGGAAACGACCAGTGGAATGGCCCTGTCCAGCCAAACTTCAAACCTCTCTAGCTCGGTCAAATCGAAGTCGATTCGGCTGATTTTTGGACGAGTCGACTCGCTCTAGTCGAGTTCTTGAAGCACAGCGGAAAGCCTCGCGTTGAAACTTTCGAATACGCTCACATTGAAGTCGTGTTGAATATTTGTGTTTCCTGCCCAGCTTCCTCGCCGCAGCACGACGTCGTCCTGTAGACGCCGACGCGCCCGTCCGCGACCAGCAGGTTCTCGACGACGAGCTCCATCATCTCCTCGTACCAGTCCGCGCACTTCGAGTCCCACTTCTCGCCGCAGTCGTAGTCGACGTACTTGTGCTTGAGCACCCACCAGCCCATGTTGAACACGACCACGTCCGCGTCGAGGTCGAGCGATATGGACCGGATCGTCTCGTCGCCGGCGACGATGTCGGCGATGAAGCCCTCGTTGTCGGCGTCGCCGATCTCCACGTCCGCTTCCAGGGGCGTGTCGTCGAGGTCGTCGTACCACACGTTCTGGATGAAGTAGTACTCGGTGTGCGCGCCGTACTCCGCGAAGTCCTTCCGCAGGTGCATGCGGTGGTTCTTGCCGTCGCTGACGAGGCCGTTGTCGTTCCACGTGTCGAAGCTGTCGTAGTCGTTGCTGTTCTCGCCGTCGCCCTCGCTCACGTCGAACTCGTGGTCGCGCACCTCGCCCGTGGCCAGAAACGTGTTGAACCCAAAGTAGCAGAAGCGCGAGAGAGAATCGCCGAAGAAAGCGATGCGCCTGCCGGCGACGACGCACTGCGCCTCCTCCCAGGTCATGGAGGCGCGGACGCTCGCGACGAGCAGCGCGGCGCGCGCAGCCCAGCGCATCCCTGGGGGCAGCAGCATCGGTGGTTGCCCACGACTCAAAACGCCGCGGGGCAAAGCACCAACTCAACGAATTACTCAACGTCGACGGTTCCCTTCAATCAAATGAGTTCTCCAGCGCCCGAGGTCGAAGTCGGCGGCTCCTTTCGCCCCCGCTCCCACACCACTCTTCCTTTGGCGGGTTTACTTGGCCGACGCGCGCGCGGCGGCGCGCGTGGATCGGTCCGGCGCGGGCGAGCGTGCCGCCACCCTAGATGATGGCGAAGACCTCCTTGGCCGCGGCGATGGTCTTCTCGACGTCCTCCTCGGTGTGCGCGAGGGACATGAAGCCCGCCTCGTACTGGGAGGGCGCGAGGTAGACGCCGCGCTCGAGCATGGCGCGGTGCCAGCGCGCGAACTTGTCCGTGTCCGACGCGGTCGCCTCCTGGAAGTTCGCGACGGGGCCGTCGCAGAAGAAGAAGCCGAACATGCCGGAGATGGAGCCGCCGCAGATGGCGTGGCCCGCGGCCTTGCCCTCGGCGAGGACGCCCTCCACGAGCTTCTCCGTGAGGGCCGCGAGCTTCTCGTACTGGCCCGGCCGCGAGAGGATCTCGAGCGTCTTGATGCCCGCGGTCATCGCGAGCGGGTTGCCGCTGAGCGTGCCCGCCTGGTACATGGGGCCCGCCGGCGCGACCATCTCCATGATCTCCTTCTTGCCGCCGTAGGCGCCCACGGGCAGGCCGCCGCCGATGACCTTGCCCATCGTCGTGACGTCGGGGGTGACGCCGAAGTGCTGCTGCGCGCCGCCGTAGGAGATGCGGAAGCCCGTCATGACCTCGTCGAAGACGAGGAGCGCGCCGTTCTTCTCCGTGAGCGCGCGGATGCCCTCGAGGAACTCCTTGGACGGCGGGATGAAGCCGCTGTTGCCGACGACGGGCTCGAGGACGACGGCCGCGACCTCGTGGTCCGCGAAGAGCGCCTCGACGGACTCGAGGTTGTTGTACTCGGCGACGAGCGTGCCCTGGGTCGCGCCCGCGGGCACGCCGGGGGAGTCGGGGAGGCCCAGCGTCGCGACGCCACTGCCCGCCTGCACGAGGAAGCCGTCCGCGTGGCCGTGGTAGCAGCCCTCGAACTTGATGACCTTCTCGCGGCCCGTGTAGGCGCGCACGAGGCGGAGCATGCCCATGCAGGCCTCCGTGCCGCTGTTCGTGAAGCGCACCATCTCCACGGACGGCACGGCGTCGATGACCATCTTCGCGAGCACGTTCTCGTTCGCCGACGGCGCGCCGAAGGACGTGCCCTTCTTCAGGCACTCGACGAGGGCCTCGTTGACCTCGTCGTTGGCGTGGCCGCAGATCGCCGGGCCCCAGGTGCCCACGTAGTCCACGTACCTGGCGCGGAGAAGGTCGCCCGAGTCGGGCGGCGGCGGAAACGAGGGGGCGGGGGCGTCGCGCGGATCCGTCGGACGCGGGCGCCGCGCTGGTTGCCGTCGACGTCGAAGGCGTAGGCGCCCTTGACGCTGTCGAAGACGATGGGGTTGCCGCCGACGGACTTGAACGCGCGCACCGGCGAGCTCACGCCGCCGGGCATGACCGTCTTCGCCTCGGCCATGATGGCGTCGGACTTGGTCGTCACGTGCGTCGGGGTCGCCGTCGCGGACATGCGCATGGGCGACCGCGTCAGGGCGGCGGCGCTGGACAGCGCCAGGGCGACGAGGATCTGAGAGAGAGCCATAGGTGCAATGCGGCGAAGCGCGATGAGGTCGCAGATCGGCCGCGGCCTTCAACTACGAGTAGCTCGACCAATAGCAAGCCCAAGCTGCCCGGCACCATCCCACTCCTTGCACCGTCCGATGGCAGCATGCTTCGAACAGCCTCCACCCTGTTCGTCCTCGCCGCGTGCCAGCGCGACGACCGTCGCCAGCTCCGCCGTCCGCCGAACTGGTACCAGAACCTGGGACCCGCCGCGCGCAGCGAGTACGCTTCGGAGGTGCCCTCGGCTGCCTATTGCGCTGCGCAGGCAGCCCGGCGCGTCGCCTGGGAGACGGCGCGCGCCCACGCCGCGTGGCTTCCGACCAACCGGACGACGGGCTGCGCCCCGCGCGCCGCCGAATGTCTCGAGGACTCGCTGGCCGGCTGCTGCGACGTCGCGGAGGCCGCCCCGGCGGAGCGCCGGGCGGATCGCTGGGCCGCGAACCGCACGGCGTACGTGGCCGTGAGCCTCGTGAGTTCGGACCCGGCCTGCGGCGTGCGGGACGCCGTCTCGAACATCCTGCGCTCCTCGGACGCGCTCGTCGTCGTCCACGTGGGCTGCTACTCGGCCGCGACGCCCGCCGAGCGCGCGGCGCTCTCCGGAGACCGGGTGCTCGTGGACCCGGCGTGCGTCCCGGTGCTCCGCGCCTACGGCTCGCTGCTCCACGCGCACCTGCGGAACGTCGGGCTGCTGGGTGCGTTCGCGCGCCGCCGTTCGACGCCGCACGTCGCGCCGCGTATAGGTACGCTCGCGCGGCCGCCGACGCACGTCGTGCTCGCGGCGGCGAACCTGTACTGGGTCGCGCCGGGGCTCGAGGCAGCGTCCTGTGGCCGTGACGATTTTCGAGAGATCTGGGGTGGGACAACGATGAGACATCGTCACCGTCGTGCGTGGTAGGCTCGAGGCCTACGTCGTCGCCCGCGGTTCGTCGGCCTACGGCGCCGGCCTCGCGGACCTGCCCGCCGCGCGCGCCGGCGGCGGCGCCGACGACGACGGCGACTGGGCCGCGATCCGCGGCCTGCTCGCCGACCCCCTCTTCGGCGATGGGCGCAAGGCGCTCCAGCAGAAGCACGAGGGGAGCTTCTACCCGTTCCCGTTCCTCGAGGCCGCGCGGGCGTTCCTCGCGGCGCGGGGCCCGCTCGGGCGGCTCAACCATCGGACGTGTCTTTGCGACGCGACGAAGCTGTGTTTGGAGGAGTGGTACCTGCCGAACCTGTTCCTCGGCCTCGCCAACGAGAGCCTCGCGGCCTTTGGGAACGCGCGGTGCCACCCGGACTGCGCGGACTGCCACGACTGCCACGGCTCGACGTTCTTCGGCACGGTCGCCGAGCGGGACCGCCTGGCCGCCGCGGACCGGGGCGTGCGGAAATTCGCGATCAAGCACTACCTCCACCGCGACTGCTCGGGCAAGCGGCCGCCGGGCTACGAGCCGGGCTAAGCGTCTGTACGGGCGGGGGGGATCCTTCACTCGCCCGTGGCCATGGGCTCGGCCGCCGGCTCGAGGGGCGTGCAGATGAGCTCGAGCGCCGTCGAGGGCTCCGGGCGGTTCGCGAGCTGCACCGCGCTGAAGCGCGGCGTGACGGCCTACGAGCGCCGCGTCGCCGCCCGAGAAAAAAAAACGAGGACGCGGCGTCCGCGCGAGCGTCGCGGCGCGGTCGTCCGCGGCGGTGTACTCGCGCGCGACGGCGACGGCGCGCATGGCCGCCCAGACGGCCTTCTTGCCGATGGCGCGGAGGCTCGTGACCTTGTTGGCCCGCAGGCGGTTCGCGACGGCGCCGCCGAGGACCCTGTAGTCCGTCGACGACGCGACGGTGAGCGCGTCCGCGGCCGCGGGCGGCGCCAGGGCCGCGCAGGCGCCGAGGTCCAGCTGGAACGAGAGCTCGTTGCGGTTGTCGCGGAAGGACCTGGGGGACGGCGGGGGGGGGTTCGCGGGCGAAGAGCGACGGACGCCGCGAAGGCGGGAGCATCGTCAGCCGCAGGCCCTTGTCGCGGAGGCGGTCCGCGGCGATGGCCGCGCCCTTGCCTGCGCCGCGCGGCATACGCGTGAGAGTGAGAAACCGACGCCGAGGAGGCGCAGGCCGTGTTGACGTTGTCCTCGTACATCGCGTGCACGGTCACGGGAAAGCCGCGGACGGCGTCCGGCAGCGCGGCGCCTAGGATCTCGTGGCAGACCTTGAGCGACCGGTGCGCGGCGCCGATCCAGATCGTGCGCCCGGCGCCGCCCGGGCGCGCGCCGGACCGCGGGCCGTCCTTGCGCTCGCGCGGGCCCCGCGGCCGGCCCCGGCGCGGCCGGCCGCCGCGCGCGGGCTTGTCGTCGACGGCCTCGGGCGCCGGCGCCGGCGGCGCGGCGTCGGCCGCGGCTGCGGCGGCGTCCGGCTCCTGCGCGGCGGCGTCGGCGGGCGCATCCGTGGCCGCCGGCGCGGCGGGCGGCGGCGGCGCCAGCGGGGCTGCCTCCGGGGCTGCCTCCGCATCAACTTGAAGCTCGTTGGCAGTCTTCTCGGCCGCCGCGGCCTCGACGACCGCCTCGCTGCCGTGCGGCATTGCTCCGGAATTCGGCGGCCGACGCGCGGCGCGCAACAGGATCCTTGGCGGGCAACCTTTGGAAATGGGGGCGCCTGCCGCCGATCTCGTGCGTGTCTCATCTCCTTTGTTCACCAACCGAAAGTATCAAAAGTGCAAGCAGTAGACCTTGATGTTAGCGAGCAAAAGCATGGAGCGCTCCATCTTCGACGCGTTGCGCGTCACGCCCGAGGGCGGCGGCGCCACGGCGACGCTCGTCGGCGCCCTCGACGAGCGCGGCGCGCTGGCCTGGCGCGAGTCCCCGGAGGACGAGGCCGCGGCCCACCTGGCGCGCAAGAAGTGGATCGTCGCCATGCTGCGCGACGGCGCGCGCAACGAGGCCTACGCGGCGGCCATCGCCGGCGCAGCCGAGGCCGTCGCGGCGCGGTTCGGCGGCGGCGCCGTCGCGCTCGAGATCGGCGCGGGCACGGGCCTCCTGACGCTCATGCTCTGCGACCAGGCCTTAGGCCACGTCGTCGCGTGCGAGATGGAGCCGGCGATGTGCGCGCTCGCGCGGGCCCACCTCGACGCCCACGGCGTCGGGAGCGAGGCCTGCACGCTCGTCAACGCGCGGTCCGACGAGGTGTCGCTGCCGACGCCCGCGGTCCTCGTGGTTTCGGAGCTCGTGGACCACGGCCTGCTGGGCGAGGGCATGCTGCCGTCGCTGCGCGAGTGCTTCGACTCGGGCACGGTTAGGAGAGACGCCGTCTGCGTGCCGCGCGCGGCGACGGTCTACGCGGCGCTGGTGGCCTGCCCCGCGCTCGCCGCGCGGCGCGGGCCCCGGAACGGGACGGGCGGCGTCGCGTGGCACCGCGACGGCGGCTGCGTCGGCGGCCTCGCGGCGGCGCCCGCGCGCCTCGCGACGCTCGAGGGGTGCGCGCGGCTCACGCCCTGGGCGCCCTGCGCGACCATCGGCCTGGAGGCGGCGACGATCCCCGAGCGCGGGCGCCACCGCGCGCCGGCCGTCGCGGTCGTCGCCGACGCGGCCGGCGCGGCGGACGCCGTCGTCTTCTACTGGAGCCTCGACCTGGGCTTCGGTTTGACGACGTCCAACGACCCGGACGGGCCGTACCAGGACCACTGGCTCCAGATGGCCATGCCCCTGCCGGCGCGCGTCGACGTCCGAGCGGGCGACGAAATCGCGCTCACGGCGATCCACGACGACGAGGCCGTCGTCTTCGACGTGTCGATCCGCGGCGCGCCCGCCGCCGACGCGGCGGCGCTCTGCTCCTGCGGCTGGCACGTCTGGTGCTCGCACGGGCGCCTCGCGGCCCTCGCGGCCTTCGACGCGGCGCCGCCGCGGCGCGCCTCCGCCGGCGACGCGCGCCCCCGCGTCGACGTCGGCGACTCGGCGCCCGTCGCGCTGGCCGCGGCGGCGGCCGATGGGTGTCCCCACACGGCCGTGCTCTGCGACGACCGCGACGCGCTGCTCGCGTCGCGGGTCGACGCGCGCGTGGAGATCGCGCGGTCGCTCGACGACGTCTCCCCGAGGCGCGTCGTCGTCGGCGAACCGTTTTACCACGCGCTCGAGGGCCACCCGCTCGCGACGGCGCTGCGCTTCTGGCGCCGCGCGAACGCGCTGGACGCGGCCGCCGTCGAGCCGAGGGGCGCGACGGTCGTCCTCGAGGCGCTCCGGTCCGACGAGCTCCGGGCCGCGTACGGCCCGCTGCCGGACTCCATCCTGGACCTGCCCCACGGCGCGGCGGCCGCGGCCTGGCGCGAGGCCGCGGCGACGCTCGTGCCCCTCGACCTCGCGGACTACGCCTACGAGGTCGCGTCCGAGACGGTCCTTTGCGCGTTTGATTTTGAACGACCCTTCGAGGATGTCGCGGCGCGCGTCGCGGTCCCGGATTGTGGTCCCGTCGACGCCTTCGCGCTCGCCGTGCGGTTCCACGGCCGCGGCGCGGACGCAAGGCGCCTCGCGAGGTTCCACGTCGGGGAGCCCGGGGCGACGGACGTTCTTTTCGAGCTCCGCGGCGACGGGTCCTGCGCCTTGGACGTCGTCGCGCGGAAGAAGCGGCCGCGGGAGGAGTAACACTGCAAAATTACTCCTCCGGCTGGTAGACGGCGCTCAGCGTCGCCATGTCCGCGTCGGAGATGTTGAAGTTCCAGAGCGTGAGGTCCTCGTCCATGTAGTCCTTGTTCCAGATGGACGTCGCGAGCGGGTGGCCCTGCTGGACGATCCACTTCAACCCGATCTGCGCGCCGCTCACGCCGTACTTCGTCGCCAGCGACTTGACCTCGGGCACCGTGAGCACGTTCTTGCCGCCGTGGGCCGTGCACGAGGACCCGTTGAAGCCGCCGCACAGCGGCGAGTACGCCTGGACGACGATGCCCTCCTCGGCGTGGTAGGCGAGCAGGTCGTCGTCATGGTAGGACACGGAGAGCTCGAGCTGATTTACGGCGGGCGGCCAGACCGTCGCCGCGAGCTTCAACGCTTCGAGGTTCAGCTTGCCGAAGTTGCTGACGCCGATCGCCTTCGTCTGGCCCGCCGCGAGCGCGGCTTCCAGAGCCATCCAGGCCTCGCGGTTCGCCGACGCCGTGCCCGGGAAGTGGATCAATAACAAATCGACGTAGGCGACGCCGAGTTCCCGGAGGTTCTCGTCGATCTCCGCGGCGATCGACGTGTGGTTCGCGTAGTGGCGAAAGTCCTCGGTGACGATCTTCGTCTCGAGGAAGTAGGCGGACCGATCGATGCCGAGCGCCGCGATGCCCGCGGCGATGGCGGGCTGGTCGCCGTAGATGATGGACGTGTCGATGGCCTTGCCCGCGCTGGACCCGAGCCACAGAGCGGTCGCGTTGGCCACGGAGCCGTGCTGCCCGCTGCCCGTGCCCAGGGCGACGTACGGCAGGTTGACGTTCGGGGCGATGGCGATGGTCGGCGCCGGGTCGACGGCGGCGGCCCCGCCCAGCGCGGCGGCGAGAAGCGTCTTCATCATCGCGCGCGCTCACCTTTGTGGTAATTGAGCTGGCGAAGGCCAAACCTCAATACAGCAGCACTTCGAAGATCGGTACTTGGAACATGCAGTGTTCCAGGACCCCTCAGCCGGGCTGTGTGACTGCTTGGGCTGCCCCATCCGCGCCATGGCGGAGAAGGCGCCGCTGCTGGCCCGCGGCGGCGACGAGGTCGGCGACCTCGTCGCCGACGACGTCACGGTGCGCGCGTCCGGCGTGACGATCCTCAAGAACATCTGCGCGACGTGGCGGCGCGGGTGCCTGAGCGCCATCATGGGGGGCTCCGGCGCGGGCAAGACGACGCTGCTGACGTGCCTCATCGGCGACCTCGCCGAGGAGTGCGTCCAGGGCAAGGTGGGCTTCGGCGCGGCGGCGATGACCGTCGCGGAGCGGCGGCGCGCGTGCGCGCTCGTGCCGCAGGACGACATCATGCCGACGACGCTGTCGCCGCGGATGATCCTGACGTTCGCGGCGGCGCTCAAGGGCGTCGGTGACATCGGGGCCCGCGTCGACGCGCTGCTCGTGGACCTGGGCCTCGAGACGTGCGCGGACACGATCGTCGGCGAGTTCGGCGAGGGCGTGGGCATCTCCGGCGGCCAGCGGAAGCGGTGCTCCATCGGCATGGAGCTCGTCGACGACTCGGGGTCCTGCCTCTGCGCCGACGAGCCGACGTCGGGCCTCGACAGCTCCCTCGCCGAGTCCGTCGTCGAGGTGCTGTCCGCGGTCGCGCGCGGCGCGAGCTCGGGCAGTGACGGGAAGGAGGAGTCCAAGGACGTCGAGGGCGGCAAGGCCTTCGGGCGGCGCAAGGTCGTCATCGCGACGATCCACCAGCCGTCCTGGCTCACCATCGCCAGGTTCGACTGCCTCACGCTCCTCGCGAGCGGCAAGGTCGTCTACCACGGCCCGACGACGCCCATGCTCGGCCACTTCTTCTCCGCGCCGCCGGGCGACGCGCCCGCGGGCGTGCTCGCCGCGGAGAGCTTCAAGGTCGCCGACGGGAGCCCCGTCGGCTGGCCCTTCCCCATGGACAACCCCATCGACGAGATCATGCGCCGCGTGAAGACGGAGAGTGGGGCGAAGTTAGCTGTGGACGCGTGGGCGAAGACGCGCAAGGGCCGCGCGGGCGCGAAGCTGCGGGACGCGGACGGCGACGACGGCGACGTCGACGGCGTGCCCCTCGTCGCGCAGACGTGTATTTTATTGCGCCGCTTCATGGTGGACTTCGTGCGGAACAAGGCCCGGCTCCGCGTCTTCATGGCGCGGCCCGTGCTCGCGCTCATCCTCGGCGCGGTCTTCTGGAACAAGGGCGAGAACATGTCCATGGCCGACGCGGGCGTGATCAGCGGTCTGATGTGCATCATCATGCTGAACACGGCGCTCCAGACCATGGGCGCGACCGTGCTGCTCGTGCCGCGCATGAAGGCGCTCGTGCGGCGCGAGCACCGCAACGGGCTCTACGCGGTGGGCCCCTGGTTCGCGGCCTACGCGCTGTCGACGATGATCCTGGAGGCCGCGGCGCTCGTGCCCTTCGTGGGCATCGTCTACCCGATGACGTCCCTCGACGGCGACCCGGCGAACGTCTTCAAGTTCTTCCTCGCGATCTACGCCGTCGTGCTCAACGGCGTCATGGTCGGCATCGCCGGCGGCGCCATGTGCAAGGACTACATCACGGTCGTCCAGATGTACATGCCCGTGTCCTTCTTCCAGATCCTGTTCATGGGCTTTTTGATCCCCAAGTCGGACCTCCCGGCCTTCGCGGTGCCGCTCTACTACCTCAACCCCGTCCAGTACGCGTACTCCATTTTGGCCATCGACGAGTTCCACGGCGTCACCTTCTCCGACGGCTCGGACTGCGACGCCATCGACGATCAGCTCGACGACGGCGAGGTCACGTGCTACGCGACGGGCGACGACTATTTATCCTCGAAGGACCTGCACTACGACCAGCTCGCGCGCGACTTCATCCTCCTGGGCTGCGTGCTCGTCTGGTTCACGGGCTGCGCCTTCCTCTCGCTCCGCCAGTCCGTCCGGGAGACGGAGACGGCGCGCGCGGAGAAGGCCGAGCCCTTCGCGGTGCCCTGCAACGAGGCCTCGTACTGCGCGTTCCCGCGGAACCGGCTCGCGTCCCAGGCCAGCGACATCACGATCACGCCGTCGGACGCGCCCAAGGCCGGGGGCCTCAAGCCGTCGATCTCGTCGCCGGACCTCATGGACGACGTCGCGACCGCGCGCGACGTCGCGCCGGACCTGTCCGCGTGCGACTTGAGCATCGCCGTGTCGTCCGCGACGGTCCAGGAGAAGGTCGTCCTCGAGGGCGTCACGGCGACGTGGCGCGGCGGCGCCTGCGGCGCGGTCATGGGCGGCTCCGGCGCGGGCAAGTCGACGCTCATGAACTCGCTCATCGGCGACGTCGGCTCCGCGTCGGGCCGCCGCGTCGTCGCGGGCCGCGTCTCCCTGGGCCACGCGGCCGCGGAGAAGCGGCTCCGCCGCGAGTCGTCGTGCCTCGTGCCCCAGGACGACGTCATGTTCGAGACGCTCACGCCGCGGCAGATCCTGACCTTCGCGGGGCGGCTCCGGGGCATCGCGGCGTACGATGCCGACGCCGTCGTCGAGGAGACGCTCGAGCTGCTGAGCCTGGTCAAGTGCGCGGACACGCCCATCTGCCCCGGCGCGGGCGGCCGGGGCGTCTCCGGCGGCGAGCGGAAGCGCTGCTCCATCGGCATGGAGCTCATCCGGCCCGAGGTGCCCGTGGGCGCGCGCTTCGCGGTGCTCGCGGCCGACGAGCCGACGACGGGCTTGGACAGCGCGCGCGCGGAGGAGGTCACGGGCACGCTCCGGCGCGTCGCCAAGGCGACGGGCGCCGTCGTCATCGCGACGATCCACCAGCCGTCCATGCGCATCCTGGAGCTGAGCTTCGACACGATCTCGCTGCTCCAGACGGGGCGCCTCGTCTACCACGGGCCGGTCCAGTCCGTCGTCGACTACTTCTCCGCGAACCTGTCCTGGGCGCCGGGCGCGAACGAGAACCCCCTGGACACGTACATGAACCGCCTGCGCGAGGAGGTCGGCGGCGGCCGGACGTCGAACGCGCAGGCCGCGGTGCAGGTCTGGCGCGCGTCCGTGTTGTACCGCGCGGACCTCGAGGAGTCCGCGGCCAAGGCCACGCCCGCGGAGGAGGCGGCGGTGACGGCGTTCCTCACGCCGCCGACGCGGCTCCACCGGCTCCAGCACTCGCTGCTCCCGAGGAACGTCTTCCGGAAGCTCGAGAAGCTGAGCTCGGCGCGCTACGGCCAGGACTACGCGGCGCAGTTCGGCCTCCTGTTCTACCGCAACGTCGTCGACGCCGTGAGCAACCCCTACATCTTCGCCGCCTTCATGGGCATCCGCCTCGGGCTCGGCATCGTCTTCGGGCTCCTGTGGTACCGCGACGCGGAGAGCCCCGTGCTCGCGAACGACGCGTCGACGCTCGACTCGCTGCTCTTTATTACGCTGGTCTGCGGCTCGGGCACGGCCATGGTCCAGACGATCATCTTCGTGCCGGACATGAAGAACCTCGTGCGGCGCGAGGTCCAGAACGGGCTCTTCGCGTTCGGGCCGTGGCTCGCGTCGCAGCTGCTCTTCATGCTGCTGTTCCACGCGGGGGGCGCGCTGTGCCTCACGGCGCCCCTCGTGCTCCTCATCGACTCCCGGGGCAAGTTCTTCCTGCCCTTCGCGGCGCTCGTCTTTTTAGGGCCCTGCCTCTTCATGTTCGTCGGCCTCTTCTTCGGGGCCGCGAACCCGTCGAAGGACTTCGACCCCGCGCGCCAGAAGGGCGTCACCGTGCTCACGCTCATGGTCCTCTTCTGCGGCCTCATGATCCCCTACCCGGAGCTCCAGGACTGGTGCAAGCCCATCTACAAGCTCGACCCCTTCCAGCACCTGTACAACGCCGCGCTCATCGCCTTCTGGCGCGGCATGGACTTCAAGGGCTCCTGCAGCGACGACCTCGTCGGCAAGGACGTCTGCTTCAACACGGGCGCCGAGTACCTCGAGTCGCTCAACGTCAGCCCGGACCAGTACATGTACCACGTCCACTCGTTCTTCGGGCCCATCGTCCTCTTCGCGGTCCTCTCGACCGCCGCGCTCTACCGCGTCGCCTACTACTAAGCTCGATTCGATCGGTACCCGTCGCGGAAATCTCGCGGCGATCGTCGTGCCCAAGTTCGTGCCCGAGGCTCCAGGCGGGTATTAATAAATGGTGCAACTAGTGTGCAACTGAAGATTCAACAATCGTGAGCATTCCAGGCATGGGCCGGCTCGCAACGCTAACAAGCAGCCCGTGACAGCCACATGGGCGCCGCCGCAACGACGGCGAAGCAGCCCCTGGCGGAGGTCGACATCAAGAACGAGATCGGCGTGCTCTACGGCGAAGAGGCCCGGCAGGCCTTCGCCGCGGCCAAGGAGGACGACGTCGTCGCGTGGCCGAAGGTCCAGGCCTACGCCGAGGCGCACGGCCTCCTCGACCCCAAGGCCGTGCTTTTCAAGAACCTGAGGCAGTTCAAGATCGCCCGCGGGCAGATCGAGGCCATCTACGACGAGCACTTCTCGGGCGCGGTGCGCGACATCCCCTGGCGCGGCAAAGACCTCGGCGACGACCGGCGCCAGTGCGCGCTGCATGGCGCGCCCGCGAAGACGCTCGACGAGCTGTACGCGGTCGCGGAGAAGGCGTTGCTCAAGTACGGCGAGGTCATGACCGCCGCGTGCCCGGACGGCGCGGTCCTGAAGCTCGCGCCGCTCAAGGGGCGCGCGCGCGCCGCGGCCAAGGCGCGCAACGAGTACGCGAAGAATACGGCGCCGGCGACGTCGTGGCTCTTCGACGTTGTGCGCGGCTCCGTCATGTGCGCGACCGAGGACGAGATCGTGCGGTTGTATGCGGCGCTCGACAAGGACCCGCGCGTCGACGTCGTGCGGACGAAGAACCGGTTCAACCCGCCGTGCTTCAACGGCTATCGCGACATTCTCATGAATATGGCGGTGCGCGTCGAAGGCGACGCGGGCGAGGTGTCGCACCTCTGCGAGCTCCAGATCCACCACGCGCCGATCAAGGAGTCGGAGCCCATGCACAAGAGCCACGTGACCTACGAGTTCTTCCGCGAGTTCTTCCTCGGCAACGCGGACGCCGTCGAGGAGAGGCTGAACATGCTCTGCGCGCTGCCCGTCGACGATGCGGAGAACGTCGACGACCTCGTGGATCGCGTGCTTGGCTCCGACCGCGCGTCGGACACGAAGCTGCTCTTGGAGCTGGTGAAGCTGCTCGAGTCGATCGCGGAGCACGCGAGCAGCGTGCGCGTCCAGGAGAAGGTTCTGGAGATCAAGGAGCGCGAGTTCGGGCCCGACCACCGCGAGGTGGCCATCACGCTGAGGAATCTTGGGAACGCGTACGGCGACCTTGGCGACTACGCCAAGCAGCGCGAGCTCCTCGAGCGCGCGCTCGCGATCCAGGAGCGCGAGTACGGCCGCGACCACGTCGAGGTGGCCACCGTGCTGATGAACCTCGGGAACGCGCACGGCTCCCTCGGCGACTACGCCAAGTCGCGCGAGCTCTACGAGCGCGCGCTCGCGATCGAGGAGCGCGAGTACGGCGGCGACCACGTTCAGGTGGCCAAGACGCTGCACAACCTCGGGAGCGCGCACGGCGACCTCGGCGACTACGCCAAGCAGCGCGAGCTCCTCGAGCGCGCGCTCGCGATCGAGGAGCGCGAGTACGGCGGCGACCACGTTGAGGTGGCCAGCACGCTGGGAAATCTCGGGAACGCGTACAACTCCCTCGGCGACGCGGCCAAGTCGCGCGAGCTCTACGAGCGCGCGCTCGCGATCGAGGAGCGCGAGTACGGCCGCGAACACGTTCAGGTGGCCAGCACGCTGGGAAATCTCGGAAATGCGCACGGCGACCTCGGCGACTACGCCAAGAAGCGCGAGCTCCTCGAGCGCGCGCTCGCGATCTTCGAGCGCGAGTACGGCCGCGACCACGTTCAGGTGGCCAAGACGCTGCACAACCTCGGGAGCGCGCACGGCGACCTCGGCGACTACGCCAAGCAGCGCGAGCTCCTCGAGCGCGCGTTCGCGATCGATGGCTTTCTCGAGCATGCGCTCGCAATTTTCAAGCGCGAGTTTGGCGGCGACCACCGGCATGCCTTGTCTTGCCGAAGGAAGCTCGGGGTTTGAGAAGGGCAGTAAGTGTGTGGTCGTTGGCCGCTCAGGCCGAGATTGGGGCTGCGAGATCGAGACATCAGAGAATGTCCGTCGCCATGCCAAAGATATCGATCGTAAACTTCAAGTTCTCCTACTAGTACCTAGGTAGGCGAACTACGCGTGTTATTCGAAATACGGTGGCATCGCGAGCGACGGGCGGGCGAGGTCGGCTCGGCGATGCGGCGGCGCGCTCTGCGCGCGCGCGCCGCGGCGGCCGGGGCTCATCCGAGGGCGACGGAGGCGGCGACGAGGAGGAGTAGGGCCGCGTTGCCCGCGATGGCGAGCGCGACGACGGCGCCGAGGCCCCCGGCGGCGTCCGGCGCCGCGCGCGTCGGCGCCGGGGCCGCGGCGGCGTACTGGCCGATGGGTTTCCGGCCGAGCATGCCGTTGAGCTCCTCCTTCCACTCGAGCACCGCGAGCTCCGGGAGCGCCGCGGCCTCCTCGAGCTCCGCGGCGGTGCCCGCCCAGTCGGACCGCGGGAGGGCCTTGCCCGAGAGCAGGCCCTTGCCCGAGTAGACGAGCTTCGCGAGGCGGGCCAGGGGCCAGGTCGGGTGCGGGCGCTTCAGCAGGCGGAGCTCGTCGCCCGCGGCCGCGGCGCCGCCGTCGCCTAGCACGCGGCAGAAGATGCCCGCGTTGCCCGTGCGCGCGGCGAAGGACCGCACGCCGTCGCGCGTGTAGGTCCCGCCGTGGATCGAGTCGACGTAGGAGCAGGGCCGCCGCGGGCTCGCGACCCGGAGGACGAGCGCGGGCGCGTCCGCGCCGCCGCGGAAGACGCCGAACTCGTCGCCGACGCAGACGACGGACGTGTCCAGCGTGTCGCTCTCGACCCAGAGCTGCTCGCCGAGGCGGCCCGGCCCGAAGCTCACGGGCTTGCGGAGGGGCGTCGCCGCCGCGTGGGCCTCGAGCGCCGCGGACATGCGGCTCGTGACGACGCAGACCGCGCGGTCCTCGACGGGCGAGTTCTTCTCGCGAAACCGCTTCGAGTTCTGGAACGTCGTGCTGCCCTTGAGGCCTTCGGGCGTGAACGTGCCCTCGTCGACGCGCACGCGGTCGAAGTGGGCGTGGTCCTTGCCCGCTGCGACCTTCCGCTGCTCGCCCTCGTCGAGGTCGTCGCCCAGGTCCGACCGCCGCGCGAAGATGGCGCCGATGCGCCCGACCAGGGCCTCCGGGGCCTGCTTTGTCTCTTTTGGAGTTGGCACCTCCGGTTTCTTCTTCCCCGACCGCGTCTGCATGCCCATGCTGCCGGAAGATCTGGCGTCGTGTCGGGGCTGCCTCGGCTCGTTTCGGCGCGTATTCAGCAACTTGTAGTTCAACATGCAGTGTCAAAATCAGCCGGCCCGATCTGGACGCGAGTTTTGGCGCCTTTCGCCATCGTCTAGGCCAACATGCGGCGCATCACCCTCTTCGCCGCGCTCGCCTGCGTCTTCGCAGCCAAGAAGACGATCCGCCCGAAGTCGCTCGGCGGCGACGGCCAGCTCAAGGACCGGCTCCGCGCCAAGGCCAGGGGCTGGCTGCGCGAGGCCAAGGCCGCCGTGAGCAGCGACTTCGAGGCCGCCTTGCTCAAGGCGACTAGGCCCGACGCGGCCGCGCCCAAGCCCAAGCACGTCGAGTCGATCGCCCTGTCCGTCGCGGCGTTCGAGGCCTACCGGTCGCCCGACTGCGACCCCTACGGCTCGCTGCTCCACAAGGTCTGGAGCCGCCTGCACGAGGCCGACGCGCGGACGGTGTGCAAGGCCTGCTACGTGCTCCACCGCCTCCTGTCGGCGCCGCGCGCGGGCGGCGCCGTCGAGTTCGCGGGCCTCGCGGCCGCGTACGCGATGCTGGCCCGGCGGTCCTCGGCGAAGACCGACACGCGCTACTTCGACGAACGGCCCGTGCTGCGGCTGCAGAGCCAGAAGGACGCGGACTACGACGTCCGAAAGTGGAGGAAGTTCGTCGCGGCGTACTGGGCCTTTGTGGACGGGTGCTGGCGGTCCGCGGCCGCGGGGCCGCCGGCGACGCCGCGCGCGGCGGCCGCGGCGGCCGCGGCCGCGTCGGCCCTCGCGGCGCGCGCGGCGCTGGCCTTCCCGGACTACCCGCGGGCCAACGATCTCGTCGCATCCGTCGCGCGCCGCCTCGCCGCGGACCTGGACGCGTACGCGGCGGCCTTCGTCGTCGCCGCGGTCGCCTGGCGAAGGCCGGGGTCCTTCTCCTGGCAGCTCGCCGGCGACGTCGCGCCGCGCCGGCGGAAGCACAAGCGGAAGAAGCACCGTAAGCCCTAGTTACCACGCGTGCGCGCCCCAGAACGCGGAGACGTCCTCCCGCCGCTCGCGGGGCTTGAGCGGGACGAGCTCGAGCGGGTCGCGGTCGTCGATGTGGGGCACGGCGTCGTCGTCGCGCCGCGCGACGGTCCGGAAGCCGTAGACCGGCGGCGCGACGCGGGAGCAGTGGCGGCTGAAGAGGCTGAGCGAGTTCGCGCCCGCGTCGCGCATGACGACCAAATCGCCCGCCCGCAGCGCCGCGGGCAACTTGAGGTCGTCGGCGAGGATGTCGCCCTGGAAGCAGAGGGGCCCGCCGATGGCCGCGTCGGCCAGCGGGGCGTCGTGTGGGAACGCGCGCCCCGCCGCGTCGAAGGCCGCCCAGCGGCGGCCGTGGTCGGCCGTGTAGGCCTGCCGGAGGCACAGGTCCGCGCCGAAATGGACGATCGCGAGCCTGCGCGTCGGCTGGTCCTTGAGCCACTCGATCCGAGAAGCGAGGAAGCCGCTCTTCGCGTTCAGCGACGCGCCGAATTCCGTGACGACCGCGTAGGTCCCGTCGAAGAGCTCGGGCGTCGCGTCGCGGAGTAACGCCGCGTAGCCCGCGAAGTCCGGCGCCGCGTCGGAGCCGTAGTCGACGGGCAGGCCGCCGCCGATGTCGACGCAGGCGACGGCGTTCGTCTCGCGCGCGTCGTTCGCGAAGGCGACGGCGGCCGCGACGCCCGCGACGAGCTGGCCGAGGCCCATGCCGCCGGAGCCCACGTGCACGTGCACGCTCGTCAGCCAGGGCCGCGCCGCGAATTTCGCGAGCAAGTCGGCGCGCTGCGCCGCGTCGCCGATGTCGACGCCGAACTTGGATGCCGACGTAGACACGGACAGGGCCGCGATCGTGCCGGCGCCGACGCGCGGGTTCACGCGGACGCCGACGCGGCCCGCGGGCGGCCGGCCCATGCGCGCGACGATTTCCGTCGCGCGGTCGAGCTCGTCGAGGTTGTCCAGGTTGCAGTGCAGGCCCGTCTCCAGCGCGTAGGCCAGCTCCACGCGCGTCTTGCACGGCGAGTCGAAGACGACGCGGCCCGGCGCGACGCCGCAGGCCTCGACGGCGTGCGCCGCCTCCGTCGCCGACGCGCACTCGACGCCGAAGCCCAGCTCCGCCGCGCGCCGCAGCATGAGCGCGAGCGGGTTCGACTTGCAGGCGATGGCGTGCTCGAAGGTCGGGCCGAAGGCGCCGACGCACGCGCGGAGCTGCGTCTCCCACGCGTCCAGGTCGTAGAACAGCGCGACGGGCGGCTCGTGGAGGCCGCCGCCGCCGAAGATGTGGTACTCGTCGTCGTCCAGCGCGCGGCGGAGCAGCTCGCCGAGGCGCGCGAGCGTCACGGGGCCCGCCTCCGGCGGCGGCGGTTTCGCATCCTTTGGCGTCGCGGGGCCGGCCTCCGGCGGTTTGGTATCCTTTGCTTCCTCAGTCTGCTCCGCGTAAAAGGGATGCTGCAGGTCGACGGTCGCGCTCGCGTCGTCGTCGCCGGCCAGCGGGTGGTGCGGATCGATGGTGGATTTCGTCTCGTCGACGCCAGGATCCACGAGCGCGGACATCTTTTTACCTCAGAGCTCAGTTAAGGCAACCCATGCGCTCAGATCATGCGCTCGCCAGCGGCAAAATCAACCCGTGAACGGCACCTTCGACAAAGAGCAGCCCGCTTGGAGAGGATGGCTTGAGATCTCGGCCATGGCCCTCTGGGCGACGCTGCCCGTGGAGACGCGCTCGTGGCGCGAAGACCGATCGTCGCTGCGTTTGCAGCGCGCGACTTCGGCGCAAGCAGGCGATGCAAAGAAGAAAGCCAACGCAGCAAGGGGAGCGGAGGTTGCGCGAAAGAGTACGGCCCCGAGCGATGCAAAGAGCAACACAGACCCCAAAGAGGCGCTCTTCCTCGTCGAAGCCCCCATCACGCTCAGGACCAAACGGACGCTCGCGCGCGGCGACGTCGTCCGCGGCCGGCGGTCGGGTCCGTCCGTCGCGCTCGACGGCGACGGTCTCGCGCCGGCGTCGTCGCTGCGCCGCCTGCCGGACGACGTCGCGGCGGCGCTCGAGGCCGACGCCGCGATGTGCGGCGCGGACGTCGCGACGTCGCTGCGCGAGGCCGCGGAGCTCGCCGGCCGCCTCGACCGGGGCCAGGCCGCGCGGTCCGCCGCGGCGCTCGACGACTGGCGCTCCCGCCGGCGCCGCGGCGACGCGACCGCGAGCGACGCGGACCACGCGGGCGTCCTCGACTCGCTGGGCCTGAAGACGATGGACGGTCGGACCTTCGAGCTCGCGTCGGCGCTCCTCGCGCTGCGCCAGTTCCAAGCCGCGTCGCAGGACGAGCTCGCGAAGCGCGGCGGCGACGCGGCCGCCGTGCGGAAGCAGTCGTTCCAGATGGCGACGAACATGCTCCTCTGCGGGCCGGACCGCCAGCTCGCCGAGGACGACGGCGCGGACCCGGCGCCGTACCTCTCGAGGGCGCCCGTCCCCCGAAGCGCGCTCGCGCCGCTCTTCGACGCGGGCTACGTCGTCGTCGACGGCGCGCTGCCGCCGCGCGACGCGCGCGCGCTTCGCGGCGAGCTCGAGGCGCTCCACGCCGCGGGCGGCCTCGCGTCCGAGGAGTCGAACTTCCAGAAGCTCGTGGGCACGCGGGGCGACGCGGCCGGCTGGGTGTCGCGCGACTCGCCCCGGCGCGCCGTCGCGCGCGCCGTCGAGGCGCTCTACGGCGTCGCCGCGCTCCTCGGGCCCGGCCTCCGCGTCCCGGCGGCGATCATGGCCGCGCGCTATCCGGGGGAGGGCGAACCCGCGCCGTATCGCGGCGCTCGTCGGCGCCGTCGTGACCCAGCACGCTTTCATATCATATGCACGCCGACGTTTTGCGCCGCGCAGGTTACAAAATCCACCAGGACAACGAGGTCCTCGCCGACGGGACGTGCTCGTCGACCCGCGCGTACACGGCGATCCTCTACTGCAACGACCCGGCGTGGCCCGACGCGCAGGGCGGCCACCTCGTCATCTACCCGGGCCGGCGCGCGAGCGACGACAAGCCGAGCGCCGGCGGCGTGGCCGTCGCGCCGCGCGGCGGCCGCCTCGTCGTCTTCGACAGCTTCCTCTGGCACGAGGTCCGGCCGGCGACGGTGCCGCGGCACGCGCTCACGAACTGGATCACGCGCGCGGCCCCGGCGTAAGGCGCTTCGGGCCCTGCTTCGGGCGCTCCTAGGCCTGCTCCTCGCGATGCCTCGCGCTTACGCGGCGGTCTCCTAGACCTCCGCGGAGTTGACGCCGTCGTCGTCGTAGGCGAACGCGGGCGCCGCGGCGGGCTCGGGCGCCTCGTTTCCGTCGTCCGTGAGGCCGAGGGACTCGTCCTCGAGGGAGTCGGCCTCCGACGGCCGCCGCGCGGCCTTGGCGCCGCGGCCGCCCGGCGCGTCGGCCGCGCGCTTGTTCTTCTTGGGCAGGCAGACGAGGTCGTCGCCCGCGGGCGGGTCCGCGCGGGTCCCGTTCGCGAGGCCCAGGGCCTGGAGCGCCGCCTCGTTGCGCGCGATGTTCGCCTCGCGCAGCTTCTCGTAGGGCGACTCCGCGGGCGCGACGCGGCCCTCGTCGTCGAGCGGTCGCGCCGCGGACCGCGGGTCGCCCGGCGGGAGCGTCGCGGGCGCGAGCGACGGCAGGAGCTCGTGCTCCTCGAGGTCCTCCTCGTCGCCCCGCAGCGCCAGCAGGCCGCCGTCGTAGCGCACGCGGTAGAGGGGCGCGGGCTGGCCGAGCGCGTCGAAGAAGTCGGACTCGTCCGCGCCGAGGTAGCCGACGACGAAGCCCTCGACCCAGAGGCTCCGCGCGGGCGTGCGCACGCTCCGCCGGAGCCGCGCGCCCACGTGGGGGCCCTCGGCCCGGAAGGGCAGCGCGTCCTCGACGTAGGCCCCGGGCTCGGGCTCGACGACGGCGACGCGCGGCGCGATGGGCACCGGCGCCGTCGCGACGGGCACGGGCGCCGGCGGGACGGCCGCGGGCTCGGGGAACGGCGGGGGCACGGGGCCCGGCGGCACGACGACGGCCGCCGACGCGGCCAGGGGCACCGCCGCCGCGGCGGCGGCGCCGTTCGCCTTGCGCGATTTCCGCGGCTTCTTCAGCGGGCAGTCGCGATGGGACGTGCGGAAGTGCGTCGTCGACCCGCACTTGCACGGGCCCGTCGCGGGGGCGCGCATCTTTCGCGGCGACGCCGACATGGCCGCGCGGCGACGTGCGACGAGAGCGGGATTGATGGCGGCGCTTCGCGAGCAGCCGAACGCGAAATGATGATACTTCTCGGCAGCATCGTCGTCAACACTGCCGGCGATTTGTGATTTTCATCATTTTGGCGCAAGCGACGCGAATCCACACTACAATGTCGCCTCGCTGGCTGCTCCTCTGCACCGGCGCGGTCGCGCTGGTGCCGCAGACGCCGCTCGCGCGACGGAGCGTGACCCTGAGCGCCAAGGCGGGCACCTTTCCGGCCTACGAGAATCCGAAGAAGGGCGCACTCGGCGCGAAATCGCTGTTGCCAGACGAGGCCGACGCGGTCGTGCAGGCGGCCCCGGCGCCCGCGCCGCCGCCGCCGCCGCCGCCGCCGCCCGTCGAGAAGGTCGTCGAGAAGCCCGTCGCGAAGCCCGTCGCGAAGGCCGTCGCGCCGGCGCCGTCGCCTGCGCCGAAGGCGTACGCTTCTCCGGGCGGCCTCGAGGTCGCCGGCCCGTTCGGGGCCTTCGCCGTCCTCGCCGGCGTCGTCGCCTGGCGCGCCAAGGCCACGGAGGAGGAGAGCGCAGAGGAGCCGACGCCGGCGCCGAAGCTGGCTTCTTACCCCGCGCCTGAGCCGACGCCGGAGCCCGCGCCGGCTCCCGCGCCCGCGCCGGCTCCCGCGCCCGCGCCCGCACCCGCGCCGGCTCCCGCGCCGGCACCCGCGCCCGCACCGGCACCGGCGCCCGTACCGGCACCAGCGCCCGCGCCCAAACCCGCCCCGGCGCCCGCGCCGCCGACGCCGACCGTGGTGACGCCCGCGACGACGATGCCGGCCGCGGCGCCCGTGAAGAAGGCGGACCCGCTGCCGGCGAAGAAGGACGGCCCCGTCCTGACGCCGGCGTCCGCGTCGCCCGTGAAGAAGGCGGCGGCGGTCATGCCCGTCGTCACGGCGCCGCCGAAGCCGCTCCTCGTCCGCGACGACGCCGCCGCCGAGGCCGCCGCCGCCGAGGCCGCGAAGCAGGCGGCGGAGGCCGTCGAGAAGTTCGACGAGCCCCTCGAGGTCACGAGGAAAACGACGAAGAAGGCCGTCAAGGTCGCCGCCATCGCCGTCGGCGCCGCGGCCTTCGGCATCCTCCTCAACCTCGTCGGACTGCCCTCGCGCAGCATCTTCTAGGCCCTCCTCGAGGGCCGCGACGCCTAAGCTTGCCGTGGTTGATCACGCCGCTACTGGCGGACTCTCCAAGCCTCTAGCACATCCCAGGAGCGCGCGCGGTCCCTTAAAACAGCCGCAACTTTACGCGATCGACGCCGATTTCGACGACCCCGCGAGCGCGGGGGACCGTTCGGACCCAGTCTACGCGATGGGCGCGGAATCGTCGCCGCACTCGCCGACGGGCGCCCGCGCAACACCGGCTGGGGGCGCTAGTTGACGCATGGTTGGACTAGTTATTGAAGGGGGTGCGCACCCGAAGACCCCCGGGCCCGCCCGGAGGCTCAGACGGAGGCGTAGCCGGGGGGTTGGCGTTCCCACACCGGCCCCTTCCTCCGACCCAAAGATCGCGCGTGCACTCGGATCGGAGGTGTGGCGGCGGTACACTCGCGCCAAGCCTGGTACCGACCGCCACGCCGAGAGCACGCCGGGATTGGCGCAAGGCATGGTTGAGGCTTAGTTGAACTGTGTTGAACAACTCGATCCCCACGAGCACGCACGATGCGCCTGTCGACATCGGTCTTCGCGTGCCTCGCTGCGACGGCGGTCCCGCTGACGGCGTTCAGGCCACTCAGCTCTGGCGGCTCTGCGTCGGCGCTCAGCCGCGGCTTCGCGCGGCCGACGCGAGCGCTGGCCGCCGGCTGGGTCGCCGAGGTCGACGAGGCGAGCGGTCAGACCTTCTACGTCAACAGTCAGACCGGCGAGTCGCAGTGGGAGCCGCCTCAGAGCACGGCCGGCTTTGCGCCGTCTCAGAGCGCGACCGTCGTCCCGCTCGGCACGTGGAGCATCGACGGCGTCGCGGGCGTGGCCGGCTTCTCCGGCGTCGAAGGCGTCACGATCGACGGCAAGTTCGAAAGGTTCGTCGCGAGCAACAAGTTCGCTGGATCGCTCCACACGGAGCACGCCGACGACGCGCATCGGCACGAGTTCGGGCGCGAGGGGCGCCCGTGCCAGCTGCCGTATCTCGTCGGCGCCGGCGAGGATCGGGTGCTCTCGCGGCACAACATGGTCGAGCCGCGGGAGTCCGTGGGGCGGGGGCAGTGCAGGATCAAGTGCGCCGCCGACGGCGGCGCCGTCCTCGTCTCGGTCGGCGAGTCGCCGACTTTGTGGCGCGCGGCCGGCGGCGCGTGGACCTCGGTCTACCAGTGGGAGTCGCAGGCGCTCTCCGACGGCGACCAGGTCAGCCTCGACTGCAACGACCCCGAGGCGGCGGTCTTCGTGATCAACGGGGGCGGGGGCGGGCCGTCGCGGCAGCCGACGGGCGCGACGCGAGGGCAGCAGGCCGCCGGCGCCGGCTGGGTCGCCCAGGTCGACGAGGCGAGCGGCGACACCTTCTACCTGAACAGCCAGACCGGCGAGACGCAGTGGGAGCCGCCGACGGGCGGGCAGGCGGCCGAGTGGGAAGCCCAGGTCGACGAGGCGAGCGGCGATACCTTCTACGTGAACATCCAGACCGGCGAGGCTCAGTGGGAGCTGCCGCCGCAGTAGCAGCGCTGCCCGGCCGGAAAGTTGCCGCTAGCGCCGAGCTAAGCGCTCAACACTTCGTTTGGCGCGCGCGCGTACGAGGCTGCACAGCATGTTGATGTTCAGGTGCAGCAATCGTTGACGATGATGACGATGATGTGGGCTTCCGCGGCGCGCACGAGGGCCGCTCCAGCGCGCAACCGTTGCATGCTGGCGCGCGCCGCAGCAGCGCGCACAATAGCCGCTCCAGCGCGCAACCGGTGCATGCTGGCGCGCGCGCTGCGCACAATGACCGCTCCAGCGCGCAACCGATGCATGCTGGCGCGCGCGCTGCGGGCGGCGCCGTCGCGCAGCCTCTCCACGAAAAAGAGCCGCTACGACAAGGTCTACGAGCTCACGGCGCGCGGCGAGGCCTGCGCCTGCACGACCCGCGTCCGCCAGCACACGATCCGCACGGACACGCCGAAGCTGAGCGGCGGTATGGATACCGCCGCCCAGCCCGTCGAGCTCCTCCTCGCGGCGCTCGTCGGCTGCGAGACGGCGACCGCGCACTTCGTCGCGCGCGGCGTCCTGCGGCGGTGACGATTTTCGAGAACCGGGGAAAAGACGAAAAGATCGTCACCGACGTGCTTGGTAGGTCGCGCGCCAGCTCGGTTACGGGCTCGACCGCGTCGACTTCGAGCTGCGCGCCGTGCGCGACTTCCGCGGCGCGGCCCACGTGCCCGTGACCGAGCCCGCGCCGGCCGTCAGCCGGCTCCAGCGCATCGAGGGCACGGCCCTCGTGTCCACAACCGACACGACGATCGACGTCGCGGAGCTGCAGCGCGTCGTCCACGAGCGGTGCCCCGTGGCGAACATGATCTCCGCGAGCGGGTGCGTCTTGGACATCGCCTGGGCCGTCGCCGAGACCTAAAACCGGCAAGGCTACGAAACGAACCTAAACGTCGCCGCGAGCGGCAGGTGGTCCGACGGGCGCGCCTCGTCGGGGATCGCGCGCGGCGGCGCCGTCGCGTCGCTGCGGCCGACGGCCTCGAGCGTCCGGTCGTGGTAGAGGTAGTCGATCCACATCTTGCGGTCGCCGTTGCGCGACGTGCACTTGGACTCGTCGGCCCAGTCGGCCTCGAACGCGCAGCGGAGCGCCCGGCCGGCCTGTGTGCAAATCAACCAGTGAGCTGGGACGTCGGGGCCAAACTTCAGAATTCTCTAGCTCGGTCAAATCGAAGTCGATTCGGCTGATTTTTGGACGAATCGATTGCTCTCAGCGAGTTCTCGAAGCACGGTGGAAGTGCTCGTGTCAAAACATTCGAATAAGCGCACATTGAAGTCGGGTTGAAGATTTGATTTGCACACAGCGGCCGGCCCACGCGAAGCCGCCGTCGGCGAAGCCCGTGTCGAAGCCGTCGCCGACGCGGCCCTCGAAGACGCGCGCGTCGGACGGCGGCGTGTTGAAGTCGCCCATGAAGATCAGCGCGTCGCCCGGTTCGACCGCGGCCTCGACGATGGCCTTGATGCGCGCGAGCTCGCCCGCGCGGACCTCGCCGGGGTGCTTGGTCACGCGCGGGCCGTCGCGCGACGTCGTCATGAGATGCGCCGCGACGACGCAAAGCGTGCGCCCCGACGCGCGGTGCCGCAGCCGCGCCACGACGCAGTTGCGCCGGTCCGCCGGCGGCAGCGCCGCGTCGCCGCCGCCGTCGCTCAGCGGCCGCCAGCGCTCCTCCAAATCGTAGTTCGCGACGCCGCCGGCGGCCGCGCCGCACGCCAATTCGACGTCCTCGCCGCCGCCCAGCGCCTCGAAGACGGACGTTCGCCAGAAGAGGCCGAGGCCGCTCGGCGGGTCGCGGCCCGCGAGGGGGTCCTTGGCGAAGACGCCCGCGAAGCCCTTTGACCGCATCGCGGCGGCGAACGTCGCGACCGCGGCCCCGTCGTAGGCCGCCGATACGCCGTGGACGTCGTACTCCTGGAGCGCGACGACGTCGCCCCTGATCGCCTCCGCGAAGACGCGCGGCCCCCGCGCGCTCTCCCAGTCGTAGACCGTCTCCTCGGACGATCGCACCTCTTCGAAGAGCCGGAGGCCCTCGTCCTCGCCGAGCGACGCGCGGAGCGCGCCCCGCAGCGTCGTCGCGACGCGGTCGCCGTAGCGGACCCGGTCCTCGCTTTCGAAGGCGAGGCCCGTAAGCTCGCCCGGGATCGCGTCCGCGTCTTGGAGGCGTCGGCAGCTCCAGAATTTCCGCATGGTCGCGTAGTCGCCGCTCGCGAAATTCTTGTGCCAGTGCCGCTTGTACTCGGCGTCGACGGCGCCGCGGCGCCACTCGTCCCAGGGCAGGCCCGCGACGCCCTCGACGCGCCGCTTCGTGTCCGGCGACACCTGCATGACCCAAGGGATCGTGTTCGAGCCCAGCGACCGGGCCAGGATGTTGTACGTGAGCGCCGTGAAGAGATGGGCGTTGGGGTCGCCGGTCGCTGGCGCGGCCGGGGAACTCGTGAAGTGCATCGTCGCGCGTCGGTGGCGCTGGCGTGAGTGCTAGCGTTGGCGCGGTGGCACTTGGCGTCGTGCGCGCTGCTGTGGTAATTAGCGACGTCGTCAACTCCTCATCAACAACCACTGGTTGCAGCCTCTCTGCACGCCTTATGTGCTGCTAAAAGGCGCCACTATGCGCCTGTCACGCACCTTGACAGCCGCAGCGCTCGCCATAACCGTCGCGACGTTAAGCACACCGGACCTGCGCCTGTGGGCGCCGTGGGTGCTGGAGACCTGGCTCATCTCCGTCCGCGACACGACCTACGGGCCCCGCGCCTGGCCGGCGCTCGCGCCCGAGCCCGTCCGCGCCCGCGCCGTCGCCGAGGTCGACGGCCCGTCGCTCTGCGCCGGCCGCGCGACGACAGCGCTGGACTTGCGACGCCCCTTCGTCATCCGCGGCGCGGCGCCGACGAACAACTTCACGAAGGAAGCGCTGACGAAGCCGCCGCTCGGCGACGTCGTCGTCGACTACTTCTACGACGCGTCGCGGCGGCGGCACCTCGTGCCCGACGCGCGCGCGAAGCTGTCGAAGGTCGTGCGCAACATCTCCAGGGGCCGGCCGCACAAAATCGGCTCGCAGCGCGTCCTCTCGCGCGAGGGCTGCTGCCCGACGACGGCGGCCCTCGAGGCGGCGCTCGCGCGGCTCGCGCCGCGGTGCTCCGTCGGCGACGTCGTCGGCCGCTGGCGCCTCTCGGCGGCGGCGCTCGACGCGCGCCTGCTCACGGTGCCGCTCTTCGTGAGCGGCGGCGGCGGTGCGGAGAGGCCGACGTACACGGACCTCCACAGCGAGCCCATCGCGTCCATGGCGATCCAGATCGAGGGGTCCAAGGACTGGACGTTGGTGCCCGCGGCCGACTCCGCGTCCCTGCGGCCCGCGGCGTCGCCCGACGGCCGCGCGTACTTCTACAGCCGCTTGGACGACGGCGAGCTATCGCGGCTGCCGCGCCTCGCGGTGACGACGTGGCCCGGCGACGCGCTCTGGGTGCCGCCCTGGACGTGGCACGCCGTCTCCTACGCGCCGGCCGCTGGCGTGTCCGTCGCGGCGAGCCTCTTCCACTTCCGGCCCTGGGCCTTTGTCGCGGCCCAGCCCTACTTCGCGGCCGCCGTGCTCCCGAACCTCGCGAAGGAGATCTTTGGAATTAAGACGCAGTAGCGAGGGCCTTCTCGACGGCCGCGCGGAGGAGCTCGAAGGCCGCGAGGTTCCGGTGCGTCGGGTGGAGCTTGTCCCGCTTCGCGTCCGCGTCGTCGTCGTCCGGGTCGCCGGGGATGAGCGCGAAGCCCGCGGCCTCGAGGACGCCCTCGGCGGCGGCGCTGCCGGCGACCTTGGCGGCGTAGACGGCGTTGTCGAGGAAGATGGGCCTGCCCTTGGCCGCGTGCTTGAGGTAGAGCGCGACGGTCTTCAGCGCGGCCGCGTCCTCCGGCGTCGCGTCCTTTAGCAGTCTCGTCGCCTCGGCCTGGAGCGCCTCGCGGCCCGCGGCGCCGAGCGCCGCGGCCCCGACGACGCGCGCGAGCGCCGCGGACCGGCCCGCGGGCGGTTTGTTCGCGCCCGTCGCGCCGTCCTCGGACATGGCCCGGAGCACGAAGCGCTGGAGCTCCTCCGCGGACCGGGGCATGCCGACGATGTGGTCGACGAGCGCGCCGTCTCGCACGGCGAAGACCGTCGGCATCTGCGTGACCTCGAGCGCGGCCGCGACGGCGGGCTCCGAGTCGACGTCGACGCAGTAGACGCGCAGCAGGCCCTTGGACGTCTGCGCCGCGTCGGCGAGCACGGGCTTGAGCGCCTGGCAGGGCCCGCACCACGCCGCGCCGACCTCGACGAGCGCGGCGACGTCCGCGCCGCGGAGGTCGAGCGCCTCCTGCAGGTCCGCGGCCGTCGCGTCGCCGCCGCCGTGCGCGACGCGGAGCGCGCGCGCGGCGAGCGGCGTCGGCTTCGTGCGCGCGGCGGCGACCGCCAGGAGGGCGAGCAGGCGCATCATGGCACGCGCCGGCCGCAGCAGGCGAAGATGGACAGGAGGACGACGGTGACGGCGATGGAGAACTGGAGAGACAGGCGCTTCTCGAGATCCAGGTAATACTGGCTCTCCGTGCTGTTGTCGCCCTTGTCGATGAGGATGAGGCGCTCGACGAAGCCGGAGACCATCAGCAGCCTCGCGGCGAGACCATCAGCACGCGAGCCGAAGCGAGCCTGGTGCCGCGAGGTGATCTCAAGATCTCGATGATGGTGCATCAATGATGCCGCTCGTGTGGTCGATTGAGCTCGCGCGACGCAGTTCTGGAGCGGATTTGGCCGCATTCTTCAGCCCTGGGACCGCATCAAAACACCTCGCACGCGTCCTCATCGCTGCGAGACGCTCCACGGCAAAACCCGTCAAAAAGACAATGCGCGCCGCCGCGCTCACAGTCCTCCTGGCGGCCGCCGAAGCGTTGAGCGCCCCGAAGCCCCGGAGCCGCCTCTTCCTCGACTCGGCGTCCCTCGCGGACTGGCAGGAGCTCCTGCCGACGGGCCTCTTCTACGGCGTGACGACGAACCCGACGATCCTCGCGCGCGACGGCGTGAGCTGCGACGTGAAATCGGTCTCGGCGCTCGCGCGGCGCGCCGTCGAGGACTACGGCTGCCGCCAGGTCATGTTCCAGGCCTGGGGCGGGAGCGCGGACTTGTTCGAGCGGAGCGCGCTCGAGGTGCTCGACAAGGTGAACCTGGGCGAGCACGTCATCGTGAAGCTGCCGCTCACGAGACAGGGCGTCGTCGCCGCGCACCGACTCCGCGACGAGGCGCACCTCTGCATGACGGCGTGCTACGCGCGCGAGCAGGCCGTCGTCGCCAACGCGCTGCGGGCCGACTACCTCGCGCCCTACCTCGGCCGCATGTCCGACGCGGGCATGAACGGGCTCGAGGAGTGCCTCGCGATGCAGCGCGCGCTCGACGGGTCCCGCGCGCACACGCGCCTGCTCGTAGCCTCGCTGCGCAAGGCGCGCTCCGTCTTCGACGTCGTCGCCGCGGGCTCGGACGCGACCTTCTCCGCGGCCGTCGCGCGCGAGTTTCTCGGCTTCGAGCGCACGGAAAAGGCCGCGGCGGCCTTCGAGGCGGACGTGGCCTGCGACGTCGAGGACGAGGCGGCCTGCATCCAGGAGGCGCCGAAGAACAAGATGATCGACGTCGCCAAGATCCTCGGCAAGAAGAAGGAGGCGGCCTAGGCGCGGCGCGCGCGTGTACAAACTTCGCTTCGTCGACGTCGTCGCTCTTACGGCGCGCCCCGGGCGTCGCGCGCCGTCCGCGACCACCGGGTCGTCCAGTGGTCGCCTTCGAGGTGGCCGCCGACGAGGCGGTCGAGCTCCGAGTCGCCCATTTCCGCGGGCCGCACCTCGGGCCGCATGGCCGCGATGGCGGTCATCATCTCCCGGACGCCGTCGGACGGGTCGCCGAGCATCTCCCGGTCGCACATCTGGGCGACGAACTCCTCGGCGTCGCTCGACGACAGCGCCGTGAGGCGGAAGCCGTAGATCTTCGCGCACCAGGGCAAAGTCGCGCGCGCCTCCGCCATCGTCCCGGAGATCCGCGAGAAGCCCACGGAGAGCGACCGGAGCTTCGGGAGCCCGGCGAAGGCCACGGGCGCGCCCGTGCACGCCGTGCTCCGCAGGTCCAACACCTCGAGGCGCGCGCAGCCGTCGAAGGCGACGGCCGCGTCGCCGTAGACGCCGCGCGACCGGTGGAGGTCGAGGTGCGCGAGCGCGCCGCAGTAGCCTGGGCAGGATGAAACGTGAGCGTTTTGCGCGCGCGCGCGTTCCAGAAAAAGCATTCCGAGGGACGATCGCTCGTCCAAAAGTCGGCCGAAACGAGCGGAACGCGGCCGAGCCTTTGACGTCGCGCGCCCTTGTCCCGCCCTGGCAGTCGCGGAAGCACTCGATGTTGCCCCGGAGCGCCTCGTTCTGCGACGCGTCGACGTGCGTGAGGCGCCCGAGCCCCGCGAGGGGCGCGAGGCCGCCGGTGACGTCGAGGCCGCGGACGGAGAGGAACTCCAGGTGTTCGAGCCGCTCGACGCCGTCGAGCGGGCCCTCGACGAGCGTGTCCGCGAGGTCGAGGCGCGTCGCGGGCCCGCCCCCGCACCGGTGGAAGAGGATGGGCAGCAGGCCCTCGACGCCCGTGCCCCGCAGGTCGCACCGCCGGAGCCGGTGGCCCGGGCGGAAGAGCGACGCCGCGTCGCCGTCGACGGACGAGCACTCGGCGAGCGCAAGCGTCTCGAGGGGCAGCGCCGCGAGGCTCGCGACGTCGCCCTCGCAGTAGGTCCGGCTCAGCTTCAGCGCGCGGAGCCGCGTCAACGCCGCGAGCTCCTCGAGGCGCCCGTCGCAGCGCGTCGACGAGCAGTCGAGCGCGGTCAGCGACGCGGCGCCCGAGAAGAGCTCGAGGCTCCAGACGGACGTCTTGATGAGCTCCGCGCGCTGGACGAAGGTCTCGAGGTGCGCGCCCGCCGCCGCGAGCATGGCCGCGCAGCCGCGCTCCGTCGGCTCGGAGCTCGCGACGCTCGCGACGCGGCGCCGCGGCGCCGACGCGACGACGGCGTCGAGCCCCGCGGCGTCGAGGGGCCCGAGGAACTGGAGCTCGAGTTTCACGTCCTGGTCGCGGCACTGGCGCCGCAGGCCCGGCGCCGACGCCTCGAGCGCGCCGAGCGCCGCGGGGCCGGCGTAGCCCAGGAGCCGGTCCAGGGCGACGACGACGATCTGCACCAGCGCGGACTCGGCCTCCGTAGCATCGCGCGGCACCATGGAGAGATTAGCACGCGTCAGCGTGCAATCTCAAACTGGGGCTGCCCATCGTGCGGCACCTTGGAGGTGTAGGCTGATGATGAAGGCTCGGGCTGTGTTGGTACGCCAGTGTTGAACGTCTCGGGCAGCCCTTACGCCGGTTGATCGATCGATCCGTAATGGGCACGATGGACGAGGCCAAGGGCGACGCGCCGTGCACGATCCTCGCGACGAAGGAGGAGAAGGAGTGCGCGGAGCTCGAGGACCTCGCCGCCGAGCTCTGCGCCAGCCAGGACTTCAACGGCGCCGAGCCCCACCTGCGGCGGGCCTTGGTGCTGCGCGAGACGGCGCTGGGCCCCTTCCACCGCGACGTCGCGCCGGCGCTGGCGACGCTGGGCGGGCTGCTGCGCGCCCAGGGCCGCTTCGAGCTCGCCGAGCCCGTCTACGAGCGCGCGCTCGCCATCAAGGAGAAGACGCTGGGCCGGGGCCACGCGTCGGTCGCCGAGACGTTGACGGACCTCGCGGAGATGCACCGGTCGCGGGGCGACCTCGACGCCGCCGAGCCGCTGCTCGCGCGGGCCAACGCCGTCTACGGCGAGGCGCTGGACTGCGACGCCGTCGAGTTCGGCTACTTCCTCAACAACTACGCGTCGTTCCTCGACTCGCGCGGCAAGCCCGCGGAGGCGCTCCTGGCGTCCCAGCGCGCGGTCCACATCTTCGAGTCCGAGTTCGGGCCCCGAGACGAGAAGACGAAGATCGCCGCGGGCTGGATGACCCACCTCGAGTCCAAGGTCCACGGCGCGGACCACAAGTAGGCGGCCCCTAACCCCCATCGGGGGAGCGAGAGAAGAACCACGGGTGTTACGCCTGGTCCGCGAAGGCGGGCTTCTTCCGCCCGTCCTTGAGCTTCACGGGCGCGCGGAGCGCGACGACGACCAGCGCCCAGAGCAGCGCGCCGAAGCAGAGCAGGAGCCCGAGCGAGTTGAAGCGCGAGAAGGGGTCCGACTCCGGCGCCTCGGCCCGCAGCACGGCGTGGTTCTGGAGGTCCGCGTACATGGAGCGCACGGTCGCGCGCACGGACGGCGCGGGCGCGGAGCCCGCGCCCTGGAGCGGCCGCCAGCCGTTGTCCGGCGGGTAGACGTCCTCGGAGCAGACGCTGTAGACCGCGCCGTCGCGCGACGGCATCTGGGCCTCGCCGGACGACGGCCTCGACAGCACGCGCGCGGGCAGGATGCGCCAGAAGCCGAACTGGCCGATGACCTCGTGGACGATCGCGAAGCGGTCGCAGCGCGGGTTCGCCGCCGGGCACGACTGGAGGTAGACGGGCGCGCCGTCGTAGAGCTGCGTGTTCCGGGAGACGGAGATCTTGCGCGGGTCGCCGTCCTCGACGGGGAAGCGCGGCTGCGAGCTGTACTCGCCGTCGACGCGCGCGTCGCCCGCGCCCTCGACGACGAACTGCGTCCGGTCGTGCCGGAGCACGAACTCGCCGCCGCCGGGGTCGCAGGCGCCGTGGTCCTCGCAGAGGCTCACGCCGCTCATCGTCGAGAAGTCGGGCGACACGAAGGCCTCGGCGTCGCAGGGCTCCCAGCTCTCGCCGATCTTGCCCCGCACGGGCTTGAGGAACAAGCGCCGCGCGTCCGCGTCGTACGCGCCCTTGAGCTCGTAGAACGAGTGGTCCGCGTGCGTGACGAAGGTCGCCACGACCTCGCCGCTCGCCGGGTCCGCGCGGTCGATGGACACCTCCACGGGGAAGTAGCGCCACCGCCGCTCGAGGTGCTTGCTGTTCTGGTGGCAGCTCGTCAGCGTGCCGCGCCAGACGTCGCCGGCGATGAAGGCCTGGTCCCGCCGCACGTGGCGCACGCCGCCGGCGTAGGCGTCGCTGTCGCTGCGTTGTATCAGTGATACGGCGACGAGCCAAAAGGCCTGCGTCGACGCGGCCATCGCGTTTTTTTTCAAGCGCAAGCAGTGCAAGCCTGTGGAGGATGCCGTCAAGGCCTTGCAAGGCCGCCCTCCCCCACGATGGGGACCAGCTAATTTGCTGGCAGAAGACGCCCTAGACGCGCCCTCTAGACGCTCGCGCACGCCGCGTCGCCGCCGCGGAAGCCACCCGCCCGCGTCCCGCCGCGCGGCGCCGCGCGCCGCGCCCGCCGCGTCGCCAACGACAAAGCGGACTTCCGCGGACGACGAAACGAGCCTCGCGGATGAGCGCGATCTCCTACTTCAAGCGGCGCCTCTCCGGCCTGGCGGCGGGCGACTCGTCGGGCGGCGAGTCGAGCGAGCCGAGCTCGCCCGCGCCCGGCACGCCGCCGCGGCGGTCGCTGTCCAAGCTCTCGTTCGGGAGCCTGTCGCAGCGGAGCCTCGGGAGCCTGTCGTCGGCGGGCGGCGTGCTGCCGACGTCGACGTCCGTGAGCTCGCTGTCGCCGTCGGCGAGCGAGCGCTTCGAGGAGCTGCGGACCGTCGGCCGCGGCGCGTTTTCTACCGTCGTCCTCGCGCGGAAGAAGCTTCCGCCGGACGCGGGCCGCCTCTTCGCCATGAAGATCTGCCGCAAGAAGGATAGGAAGGAGGAGACGAAGACGGAGTCGACGTCGCGGAAACGCGCGGCGCCCAACTCCAAGGTCGAGCCCTTCATCCTCGGGTTCCTCGCGTCGAAGGAGGAGCCCGCGGCGGCGTTCGTCGTCGAGCTCCGCTACGCGTTCCAGTCGCCCGAGGCCTTCTACCTCGTCACGGACTACTTCGCCGGCGGATCTTTAGCAACGGGGTTGCGCGCGTCCCCGGACCGCCGCTTCGCGCCGCGCCGCGCGGCGTTCCACGGCGCGGAATTGGCCGTCGCCGTCGGCTTCCTCCACGCGCACGGCGTGCTCCACCGGGACCTCAAGCCGTCGAACGTGCTCCTCGACGCCGCCGGCCACGTCAAGGTCGCCGACTTCGGCCTGGCCAAGTTCGGCGCCGAGGACGGCCGGTGCCGGTCCTTCTGCGGATCCGTCGAGTACCGGAACGGGGCGGGAAAAGCGTGATTCGAGTTCGCTTCGACATGAGTGTTCCGCGCAAAAAGCATGCACGCGTCGAGAGCGCTCCGAGAGATGATCGCTCGTCTAAAAATGAGCCGAAACGAGCGGAAAACGACCGAGAGAGGAGCCTTTGAAATTTCGCATCCTTTTCCTGCCCAGGTACATGGCGCCCGAGATCCTCCGCGGCAAGCGCTACGGCTTCGCCGTGGACTGGTGGGCGTTGGGGGTCGTGCTGGCGGAGATGGCCTTTGGCGCGACGCCCTTCTTCCACGACAAGCCCCGGGAGCTCATGCGCCTGATCCTCTCCGAGGCGCCGTGCTTCCCCGAAGGCGACGACGGCGGCGACGTGCACGAGCTCTCGGCGCTGCGCTGGACGGCCGCGGCCCTGCTGGAGAAGGCGCCGCGGGACCGCCTCGGCCGCCGCGGCGGCGCGCCGGCCGTGCGCGGCGCGCCGGCCTTCGCGGCGTTCGACTTCGGCGCGATCGAGCGCCGCGAGCGGCCGCCGCCGGGCTTCCGCGTCGACGCGCGCCGGCCCGACGACGCGGCCCGCGCGGCGCCCGTGGACCTCGACGACGAGGCGCGACGGCCCGACGGCGACTCGTGGGCGTCGGACCCGGACGCCGGCGCCTGGTCCGGCGCGTCCGCGTCGGACTCCGACGAGCTGCCGCTCCCGGCGCCGGACGCCGACGAGCTGCCGCTCCGGGCGCCGGACGCCGACGAGCTACCGCTCCCGGACGCCGGCGAGCTACCGCTCCCGGAGCCCGCGTCGCCGGCAGAGGCGTCCGCGCGGCGCGTCGTCGACGACCTCGAGCGCATCGGGCTCGCGGAGCTCTAAGGGTTCTCGAGAGCACGTTAGCGGCGGGGCGTTCAGAGGTAGTCGGCGATGGAGTCGACGTAGAAGTCGGGGATGACCTTGTTCTCGGGCGAGAGGAGCTTCTCCTCGGTCGTGACGCCGCTGAGCGTGAGGCACGACTTGAGGCCGTTGTCGTTGCCGAAGAGGATGTCCGTGTCGAGGCGGTCGCCGACCATGCAGATGCGTGCGCGATCCAAGCCGAACTTCTCCTCCATGTAGTCGATCATGAGGGGCGACGGCTTGCCGACGAGCGTCGGCTCGCGGCCCGTGCAGCCCTTGATCGCGCCGACCATCGCGCCGTTGCCCGCCCACTCCTGCGCGTCCGTGAGGTGCGTCACCGCGTCCAGGTTCGTCGCGATGAACTCGGCGCCGAGCTCGTTGATGGCGAGCTGCGCCGTCTGGATCTTGTAGTAGTTGACCTCGCGGTCGAAGCCGACGACGACGGCGCCGATGTCCTCGTCGACGTCGAGCTTGCCGCCGGGCTTCATGTTCGGCGCCTTGGCGCTGTCGGCGCCGGCGCCGATGTGGGGCACGCCGATGAGGTCGAGCTCGTCCTCGATGCCGACCTCGCCGATGATGTAGACCTTCTTGCCCGTGTCCTTGAACTTGGTCTGCTCGAGGTACGCGGCGGCCGCGAAGGACGACGAGAAGATCTCCTCGGGCTCGACCTCGAGGCCCAAGCCCTCGAACTTCTTCTTGTAGCCCTTGCGGCTCTTCGTCGAGTTGTTGGTCACGAAGAAGATGCGCTTGCCGAGCTCGCGGAGCTTCTTGAGCACCGCGGGCACGCGGTCGATGAGCGAGTCGCCCTTCCAGATGACGCCGTCGCAGTCGAAGATGAAGACGTCGACGCTGTCGAGGAACTCCTGCGGGTCACCGAGCTTCGTCGGCGTGCCCGCGGTAGCCACGGCGCTGTGGAGCCGCGTGTCGCCGCCGGACCGCACGCGCAGCGCGCCGGCGCGGGCGCCGATGCGGCCGAAGGCCGCCGCGCGGCCCACGACCGTGAGCGCGACCACGAACTTGCTGAAGAGCGGCATCGGAGGCCTGGCAACGAGCTGTGGACGATCCGAAGCGCGAGCCTCGTCACATGCGGCGCTGGCCTGGAGTCGCTTACTGCTAGCCCGGGCCTAGCCGAGACCCACGGGGGAACCGGACTCTCGCTGGGAGGAGCGCCTAGGCGCGTCGCGTCCGGGGTGAGGAACCCCAAAGAGCGCGCTGGTCCAGCGCTCTCGCTGCCTCGTGGCCGTGTGACGCCGGGTAAGCCTCCGGACCTGCCGCGTCCCCCCGCTCGGTCGACCGAACGGGGTTTCGCGGCCAGGGCACTGCTCCGCGGCGGCATCATCGTCTTGTTTCCCCTCCTCAGCCGTGTCGCCGCCGGCGCCGTCGCGTTCGACGCCGCCGCGCCCGCCGTCGCCGCCGCCCCGCGCCGTCGCAGTCGGACGCGATGGGCGCCGCCGACGAAGCCCCGCTCCTCCTCGACCCGTCGATCCGGGACTGGGTCGTCCTGCCCATGGTCGCCATCATGGTGCTCATGGGCCTCTGCCGCCACTACGCGCAGATGTGCCTCAAGTCGTCGAACCCCATGGACGCCGAGGAGATCAAGCACAAGCAGACCCTGGGCCGCGTGTCGAGGCTGCGGAACCGGGGCGCGCGGCTCCTGCCCGCGGCGTCGTTCAACGCGCGCAAGGCGTACTTCGCGGACAAGACCAAGGGCCTGCTCACGAAGAAGGTGAAGAAGAGCGGCGTGAACCCCATGTCGAACCCCATGGGCATGGTCGACCACATGAAGGGCAACATGCTCTACATGCTGCCGAACATGGTCATGATGGGCATCATCAACTTCTTCTTCCAGGGCTTCGTCATCTGCAAGGTGCCCTTCCCGCTCACGAGCCGGTTCAAGGTCATGCTCCAGCGCGGCGTCGACCTCGCGACGCTGGACGTGTCCTACGTCTCGTCCCTGAGCCTCTACTTCCTCCTCATGTTCGGCCTCCGGGGCTTCTTCAAGATCGCCCTCGGCGAGGACAGCGACTCCCTCGACGAGTCGCGCGCGATGCAGATGCAGATGGGCATGGGCATGGGCGGCCCGGGCCAGATGTTCGACGCGCCGGGCGCCTTCAAGCACGAGCGCGAGGAGCTGGCCATGACCCAGCACGCCTGGGCGCTGGAGGACGTGGAGCTGAACCTCGTGGGCGCCAAGGTCGCCGCGCGCGTCGCGAACGCGCGCGGCGGGGCCGCGCCGGCCAAGGGCGCGGCGAAGCCCGGCGTCCGCGTCAAGAAGATCCGCAAGGTCAAGAAGACGGCGTAAAAAGGTTTTCGTGACACGGGGCGGGCCGCGAGTCGGCGTCGCGGGAGAGGCGCGCCGAGTCGCAAAAGACGCGATACGAGGCGAAACGGCCGTTACTACGCGACCAGCTCGGGCTTGCGCGAGACGAGGAGCTGGCCGCACGCGGCGCTCTCGTCGTCGCCGCGCTGGAGGCGCGTCGCGACGTGGACGCGGGGCTCGAGCTCGCGGATCTTCGCCGCGTAGGCGAGGACGCGTTCCGTCGAGGGCGACTCGAAGTCCGTGTGGTCCGTCGGGTTGCAGGGGATGAGGTCCACGTTGCACTTGCCGGCCGCGTCGACGATGGGCCCGATGAATTCGGCGAGCTTCGCGGCGTCGTCGTCGGAGTCGTTGACGTCGCGGATGAGCGTCGCCGCGAGCATGAGCGTGCGCCGCCGCGCGGGCCGCGCCTCGAGCGCGTCGATGAGCCCCCGCCGGAGCTCCGGGAGCGGGTGGCGGCTCGACGGCACGAGCTTCCTCCGGAGGTCCTCGTCGGCGGCGTGGATGGACCACGCGAGCATGCCGTCGGCGTCCGCGAGCGCCGCGAAGGCCTCGGGCGACGGGCCCACCGTCGAGATCGTGATCTTCGACCGCGCCATGCGGAACTTGTCGCCGTCGACGAGCGACGTCGCCGCGGCCTTGACGTGGTCGACGTTGCGGCCCGCGTCGCCCATGCCCATGAAGACGATGTTCGTCAGCGGCGGCATGGCGTCGGACTCCCGCGCGACGCGCGCCGCGATGGCGAATTGCGCGAGGATCTCGTCCGCCGTGAGCTGGCGGACGAGCCCCATCCGCGCCGTCGCGCAGAAGCGGCAGCCCCGGTCGCAGCCGACCTGCGACGACACGCAGAGCGTCGTGCGCGGCCGCGTCGGATGGGGGATCAATACGGCTTCCACCGCCAGGCCGTCGGCCAATCGCACGAGGAGCTTCGTCGTCCCGTCCTTCGCGACGTGCGTCTCCGCGAGGGTCGCGGGCACGAAGCGCGTCGCGCCGCAGGCGATCAAGGCCCGCCGGGCCCCGATGGTCACGAGGTCGGAGTCGAGGGGCTCCTCGCCGGCGCGCACGGCGTCCCAGACCGACCGGGCGCGGCCCGCGCCGCCGACGAGCTCCTTGAGCTCGGGGAAAGGTAAGGCGAGCGTCGACGACGGCCGCCCGTGGACCTCGATGCCCGGCGGCGCGGCCGTGCGCGGAACCGTCGCCGAGAGCGCCGAGGCCGAGGCGAGGAGCGCGAGGGAGCGCCACGCGTGGCTCAGGGTAGGGCTAGCGCTCATCACAGCTTTCTTCGCCCGGCCCATGCTCAGTGCGGCAACTACAACATGTATGCAACCAAGGCTTCAAGCATCGACACGTCCCTGAATTTACCCCCCGCACCGCGTCGCGTTCCGCCGGCTCGCGGCGCAGGCCGGCGTCTCGTCGGGCGTCGACCGCGCGAGGCAGACCTTGGCCGCGAGCCCGTCCCCCGGCTCGCCGAACGCCGCGCCGCCGCGGCGGAGCGAGTCCGCGAGCCACGTCTCCGGGTTCACCGTCGTCTTGCCCGGGAGGCCCGTGACGCCCGCGCAGCGCCAGTAGCGTAAAGCACCGTCCACCAGCCCCGCCGTCGCCGCGTCGCGCTCGAAGACGTTGAACCAGTCGCCGCGGACCGCGACGTTCGACGCGCCGAAGACGTCGCGCGGCGACACGGGCGCCGCGAAGACGAGGTCCGGCCGCAGCTTGGCGACCCAGGCGTAGCGCGCCCCGTCGCGCCGCTCGGCGAGGTTCACGAGGAACATGGCCCGGCGGTAGCGGTCGAAGATGCGCACCGCGCGGCCCGCGGCGTAGTGCAGGTCCGCGGCCCACGCCCTGCCGCCGCAGTGCGTGTCGCCGCGCGTGCCGCTATACCAGTCGGACCGGTTCCACTCGTTGCCGCCGTCCGCGAAGCCGCCGACCCTCGGCTCGTGCCTAGCGAGGACGTTTGTGATGATTTGTTTCCCCGGTCGAACGCTCCCGAACGCGGGACCCGGGGCTCGCGCAGCGTGACCATGCGCGGCCGCAGGACGCCCAGCGCGGTCGCGAGGTCCGCCGCGGCGACGCGCTTCGAGCCGTGGTTCCACCGCGGCTCGCGCATGAAGGTCTTCGTGTCCGGCGCTAATTCGAGATTCGCGAAGACGTCCCAGTTTCCGCCCGTGGACCGCAGGAAGCAGTCCGCCATGGTCCCGTGGACCCGGGCCGCCTCGAGGCCGTCCGCGAGGCCCGCGACGACGACGGCGCCCCGGGGGCCCGCCGCGGGCGGCGGCGCGGCGCCGACGGTCAGCGCGACGCACCCGTTTTCACCGCCGTCGACGGCCGTCGCCGTCGCCGCGCCGCCCGCCGCGGGGTACGCGTACTCGCAGGTCCAGGCCCAGGGCGCCGGCGGCGCCTCGACGACGCACTGGCCCGGCCAGGCCGCGAGGTCGTCGCGGCGGCCGACGCACCGCTCGCCGCGGGACGCGTCGCAGTCGCCGTCCGCGCGGCAGTCGAAGCGCGACACCGGCGCGCGCGGCTCCGCGCCGCAGCCGCGGTGGAACGCGCGCTTCGCGGCGAACTTGGGTTCGACGCTTTCGCCCCAATAGACGTCGCGCGTCGCGAGCGTGCCGTCCCAGAGGCGGCAGCCCGGCGGCGGGCCCGGCGCGTCGCAGGGCGCGCCGCCGTCGCCGCCGAGCGCGCGCGCGAGGTTCGGGAGGTAGAGCTCCTCGACGCACGCGTGGCCGCAGTCGAGGCACGTGCGCGCGTTGAGGCGGCCCAACGGCCCCCGCGCCGCGAGGAAGGCGACCGCGCGCCGCAGCGTCGCGAACGCGTAGAAGGCGCCCTCGTGCTTCTGCACGAGCACGCGATCCGTCGGGAGCTGCTCCGCGATCGCGGCCCAGTCGCCGTCGTCGCCGTCGACGGTCCTGTTGATCGCCGCGAGCGACGCGAAGGCCGGCGCGCGCGCCGCCGACGCGCCGCGTGCGCGGACGAGGGCCTCGAAGCCCGGGGTTCGCCACTCGACGTTCGCGGCGGAAAAGACGACGTGCGACGGGCCGCGCGCGCCGTAGAGCGCGTCCAGCAGCATGACGTTGCGCAGGTGCGCGTGCAGGATGCTCCCGTAGGCCCGCAGCACGGGGACGCAGTCCGGGTTCAGCACGACGCGGCCCGGGAAGGCCGCCGCGAGCGCCGCGCGGTCGCCGTCCGTCGCGCGCGAGTAGCAGCCGACGTGCACCGCGACCACCGTCGACGGCGCGGCGACGGCGAGCAGGTCCCGCGCCGCGGCGCGCACGGCGCAGGCCGCGTCGCTCGTCGCGAGGCTCACGGCGACGAAGGCGCCGCTCCGCGGCGGCGCGGCCGCCGCGGGGCCTCGCGCGCAACAGCCCGAGAGGCTGTCCTCGACGCAGGGCGCGCTCCGCGGCTCGCAGCTCGTCCCATCCGCGGCGCCGGGCACCCAGCGCGCCCGCTCGTAGGAAACCCGCCACGCGCGCTGGCGCGCGCTCGAGGAGGCGCACTCGTCGCGCCGCGCCGCCGGGTCGTACTGCGCCCGCGCCGCGCCGCTCGTCGACGCCTCCCACCACGCCTTCGCCTCCCACTCGCCGCGGCAGCCCAGGGCGAACGGCAGCAGGAGGCGCAGCGTGCGCATCAGCCGCAGCGTTGCATGAGCGCTCGAGAGGGCTGCCAATTTGGGCTGCCCATGCCGCGCACGAACAATGTTGAATTCACCTTTGAGTACAACGCACTCAGTCGGGGACGATGGGGCAGCCCTTTCTGGCGCCTGTCCCGACAAACATGGGGCGAACAACAATCCTGGCGTTCGTGCTCGTCACCCGCGCGGCGGCCCTGAGCTGCACCTACGACGACGTCTCCTGCTCGGACCTCTCCGCCGGAGCCATCCGCACGACGCGCAGCGCCGGCGGGGCGAGCCCGGCCTGGTTTAACGTGTCCGTCTCCAAGGCCGGCGGGACCTGCGGGCTCCACTGGACCTGCACGCAGTCCGTGTGGCCCCACCTGAAAAAACGCGGCACGAGCCGCGCGACGGCGTCGACGGACGCGTCCGCGTCGTTCCGGATCGCGAGCGCCGGCGCCGGCCCGCGGCGCTGGCCCGCCGTCGAGGCGACGGCCGCGTGCGACGCGCACGTGACGGTGTCGGATCTCGTGATCACGGGCGCGGGCATCGTGCCCGGCGCCGTGAAGCGCACCGTCGAGGCGAAGATCGCGTCGACGATCGAGGCGAAGACGTGTCAGGAGGCGCGCGCGCTCGTCTACAACTTCTCGGCCGTCGACGGCGCCGTCGCCGTCTGCGACGCCGACGCGCGCGCGTCCGAGGCCGCGATCCGGCGAAACGGCCCCGCGGACGACGGCACGGGGCCCGTCGCGTGGCGGCGGACCGCGGCGGTGCGCGCGGCGTCGGCGTTCGCCGCGCGCGAGGCCGAGGCCGAGCTCCGGAGGCTCGGCGTCGTCGACGCGGCCGTCGGCGTTTCGCGGACCTTTTCGTCGCCGGCGGCGAACGTCACCGTTACCGTCGACGCCGTCCGCGTCGCGGGCCTGGACGCGGCGACCGTCGCGCTCGACGCGTTGCCGAATCTTACCGTCGCGCTCGCGGCCGCAGCCCCGACGGTCAACCTCACGGCGTTCTTGACGGTCACCGTCGTCTCGCCCTACCTCGCGGCCCCCAAAAGTGAAAAGGCGACGGCGACCTGGCGCCTCGGCGGCGCGACGGTCGCCGGGACGTACCGCGTCGCGCTGGAACCGTCGGCCGTCGCCGAGGCGGCCTTCGCGCGCTACCCGCTGCGCTGCGCGTCGTCGGCGCTCTCGTCCCTGAACGTGTCGCGCCTCTCGGTGCGCGCGGACACCTACGCGCGCGTCGCCGTGGCGCCCGACGACCCGTCGCCGCTCGTCGCCGACGTCGCCGCGGCCGCGACGGACGCGGTCGACGCCTTCCTCGACGGCTTCCCGGGCCTCGTCGACGGCGCGCTCGACTGCGCCGTCGACGGCGCCGCCAAGGCGCTCCTCAACGAGCGCGTCGCCGCCTTCCTCGCGGGCGACCGCGGCGGCGGGTCCTGCGCGCGCGCCGCGGCGGTCGAGGGCGGCTTCGACGGCACGACGACGGCCTACGCGCTGTCCGTGCCCTTCGTCTTCGCTGTTATCGTGTTGACCCTGGGCCTCTACGCGGTGTGCGGCGCCGCCGTGCTCGTCCGGCGCGGCCCGGCGGACGGCGGCGGGTTGGCCGAGGGTTTGCTCTCGCGCGACCACGACGCGTTGTCCCTGAGCGCCGCGGCAGCGCCGGTGGCGAAGCGCGCGGTCCCGTCGATCTTCGTCGGCATCGTCGCCCTGTTGTTCTACTCCTACGTCGCGCCCCTCCAGCGCCTCGACGTCCGCGTCGCCGTAACGTCCGGCGCGTGGTCGAGCCCGCTCCGCGTCTCCCTGGACAACTTCTGGACCTTCGACGCCGTCGCCGTCTGCCTGGACGTGTGGAACTCGGGCGCGACGGCCCTCATCCCCTACGCGACCCTCGCGTCCTTCCTCTGGCCCCTGCTCAAGCTCCTCCTCTCGGCCTTCGCGTGGGCCGCGCCGGCCGCGCCGACGCCGCTGACGCCCGACGCGCGCTTCGCGCGGCTCCGGCGGGCCTGCTACCTCGCCCCCGCGGCGCGCGTCGACCTGCTCGATGTGCTCGACAAGCTCGGCAAGTGGGGCGCGGTGCACCCCATCGCGTGCCTCGTCTTCGTGGCGCTGAACCACCTCGAGCTCGCCGCGCGACTCGCGGACCCGGCCGGCGGCGCGCCGGACGCGTTGAGCGCCACGACGTACCTCGTGCTGCTCTCCGCCTTCTACG